TTCCTTTAAAGTATCTGATTGTCATTCAAGAATCTTTTATCCCTTATAAGGTGTAGACTACAATATGATGAAAGTTGAATCTCTTAAAGGAATAACAGTCCAAATATGGTTCAATTCTGTTCAATAATTACAAAGATATGATGAATTAAAAAATTGTCAATATTTATAATCCACTGATCACCATATACAGAAATAAATGAAATGAAATGGGGTTTAACGTCCTACTGTTCTGCTCTGACTGGGCTAATGAAGAAGGGCATACGTCATACAGTGTGCTATGAGGGAAATTTTGCCCAGACAGCGGTTCTACAGCCTAATATCGAACTGTCAAGGGATCTTTTACATGCACTCCAATGTGTACACAGGACTTCAATTTTTCATCCCATCCGAACGACTAGACAGCTGTCCTTGCCAGGCCCTCCGTCCTGCATCACTGCCAAGGGGAAACATGGGGTTTAACATCCTACTGTTCTGTTCCTAACCTGGGCTAATGAAGATGGGCATACGCCATACAGTGTGCTATGAGGGGAAATTTTGCCCGGGCAGCGGCACTACAGCCTACTCTTATATCAAATTCCAACTGCCAAGGGATCTTTTACGTGCATGCCAATGTGTACACGGGACCTCGATTTTTCGTCCCATCCGAACGACTAGACAGCTGTCCTTGTCAGGACCTCCGTCCTGCATCCCTGACAAGGGGAAACCACGCCAGAAAATCCAGGCTAGCAAGCCATCGTCCTACGCACTGATCCACCATGGCACAAGTCATGAATCTGTATAAAATGTATCGACGGGCCGATTTTAAAACCAAATGAATCCAAGCCAGGATATTATATTAAAAAAACAGTTTGAATAGCCAGCATTTTAGAATGTTTCAATTCACAAAAACATTTCTATATTTTCAAACAAATTTATATGACAAAAAGAGACTTTGAATTTCAAAACTACCAGAAGGCATTTCAAACAAAACACAGATTTTACTTTTTCTATATTTCTTTGATGTTGTAAGAATTTTATTTGATAAAAAATGTATTAAATTTAATCAATAGAAAGTGAAATATATAAAAGAATTTGAAGAAATCTGTAAAAAAAAACCTCTCTCATAAAATAGTTGACGCCTTTCTATCTCTGCATTTTCTATAGAAAAAAGTTTAAAAAATTCCCATAAATTAAAAGTTATTTGAAATGAATTTATAGTTGAACAAGATTTCGCAATCAATCAATGGACTTATTTATCATAGCAATGATGTTTTGAAATGTGGAATTTTATTTTCTTCTTATTATGTCACACTGATAGGAAAGTTACAATCGTTCAGTTTGTCATATGGGACGGAAAACCAAGGTCCTTTGTATGCATTGAAGTGCACGTAAAAGTGCACTTTATTGTTAAAATTCAATTGGAGTTGAGGTAAAATTCCCCTCATGGTACACTATATAGGGTACGATCGTCCTCATCGACACAGTCCGTACAGAACAGCAGAACATTAAGTCCTGTCTTCATTTCATTCATTCTTCACGCCATTTATCAAAGATTGGATATTTGAATCCCTGAAAATAAATGAAAATAATCAGATGCACTGTTGCAAGATGACGAACAGTCGGGAAAACATATTGTAAATCCACTAATTCTAAAACTAGAAGGAGGGGGAGTCTGTGTGCCCCAATAAAGATAAAGAAAATTTTATTACGTGACCCCCCCCCTTCAAATGCTTGGATCTACATAATTCCCCCTCCACCAATTCATAGGTATCAGTTTTATGGCCCATTTGTGTGAATCGCAATGACCATCTTTTATAAATGTGTTTGAGTGTAGGGAGTAGCCCCCCCCCCACATTTGATACACAGCTATGTAAAAGACATAAACAACCTCTATACATAAACATTTTTCTATGGGTCACTGGTTCAAGAAACCACATAGCCAATAAATATCATGTTGACATCTGGTCAAAAGGGTCAAAAAAGGGGTCAAATCAATTGCTTAAAAAAGATCCGGAGAAAAAGTATAAGGTGATCCACGGGCATCTTATTTCAAAAGAGTAAATCTGGTGCAAATAGCCATGAACCCCTCTCAACAAGGTATGTAGGTCCTCATTTTGTCTGAAACAAATATCACTGTTAATGATGATCCTTCTCATCACCCTATTATTAGTATAGGAGATCCTTCAATTGAAGTGGTGGTCCTTAATAACTATTGTACCCACACAACATGGGGTCAGAGGTCATGCCATACTACAAAGGACTATAGACTTAAGGATTTAAATAGGTCATTACTATATGTCAACACCTCCATTGCTCCATTGACGGATAAATTACTGTTCGAGGTGTAGAGGAATAATAAGAAGGGGGGAGGGAGGAGAGTGAGGCACACAGAGAGATGGTAGGGAGAGAGAGAGAGAGAGAGAGAGAGAGAGAGAGAGGGGGGAGGGAGAGAGAGAGAGGGGAGAGGGAGAAAGAGGGCGAGAGAGACAAGGTGAGAGAGAGAAAGAGGGCGAGAGAGACAAGGTGAGAGAGAGAGAGAGACAAGGTGAGAGAGAGAGAGAGAGAGAGAGAGAGAGAGGGTGGGAGAGAGAGAGAGAGAGAGAGAGAGAGAGAGAGAGAGAGAGAGAGAGAGAGAGAGAGAGAGAGAGAGAGAGGGTGGGCGAGAGAGAGAGAGAGAGAGAGAGAGGGAGAGAGAGAGAGAGAGAGAGAGAGAGAGGGGGGGGGAGGGAGAGAGAGAGAGGGGAGAGGGAGAGAGAGAGTGAGAAGCAGAGAGAGAGGGTAGAGAGAGGGAGAAAGAGAGAGAGAGAGTGGAAGAGAGAGTTTTTAATCCAGTCCAAACAACTAGACGACTGTCCTTGACAGGCCCTCCTCCTGCATCACTGACAAGGGGGAAACCACACTTGAAAATCCCGATGAACTTTCACGACCAATGCAAGGATCAAACACACAACCTCCAGGCTATGAGCCAGCGTCTTACCCACATAGCCACCATGGCTCCCAAGTCCTCTTACAAGTGCATTACATGTGCATATGTAAGAGGTAAATCATCCTGTTAAATTGCAAGGCATTATTCAGGCTTCATATGTTATATAAATTATACCCCTCTAGACCATCCGATGGTCATGATTTATAACGGATTGAAACATTTAATAATTTAATTTAAAAATGGATAATAGTAACAATGGTAGCATTGGAAATCGGGATTACACTATTTGTATGAAAACTTCAAACTGTCATAACTAAGCTCAGAATAGATGAATTACTGGTGGACATATTTTGTGTGTGGCCTGTATATAGGCTTAAATACCATCATATATACTGTCTCTGTCAGAAGATTTTTGAGTGTTTTTTTTATCCTGTACCCAGTAACACTAGTTTTACTTTAGGAGTTATTGCCCTTGGTCATTTGTGGCCTGTACTCGATTTATTGAGAGAGAGAGAGAGAAATGAGGTTAAACAGTTCACTCGACACATGGTTTAATTTTATTTCAATAATCCACTTGGGCATAGGGGTCTTTATCTGTGGGAGGAAACCGGAGGACCCGGAGAAAACCCATGAGATTGAACAGGTGTACCCTACTCCTTGTCACGTACAACCAGGGATTCGAAACCACACCAGTTAACTCTATTTATATAAGCTTTAGTGGTATACTGTTTCTGTCAAAAAAAAAAAAGTTTTTTGCTTTTAACCTGTACCGAGTACCACTACAGTAACCTTGACCGTTAACAGATGAAAAATAAACACACCAGCACGTGTTGACACTGCATTGACACAAATAAAACTTACATGTGAATTTTATTGCATCTCATGGTTTTAATATCATATTATATCCTTCTGATGTGGAAATGAAATTTATTGGAGACATTTAAACGTTCATGAGCAGAAAGATAATAAAATTAAATATAGCTGCAATTTGTTGTTGTCTTATCCTTTAACTGATAAATTTCAAAAGATATACAAAGAGAAACGTCTATTGTATAAAACATCTACTGGACAAAACTAAACATCTACTGTACAAAACACCTAATCAACACACAAAATATCTACTGCACAAAACAAAACAGGTACAAACAAAACATCTTTTGTACAAAACAAAACATCTGTTGTACAAAACAAAACATCTACTGTACAAAAGAAAACATGTACAAAACAAAACAACTGTACAAAACAAAACAACTGTTGTCACTGTTGTACAAAACAAAACAACTGTTGTCACTGTTGTACAAAACAAAACAACTGTTGTCACTGTTGTACAAAACAAAGCAACTATATAGTACATTTACATCTACTGTATAAAACAAAACATCTTATTGTATAAAACATCCACTGTATAAAATAGAAACATCTACAATACAAAGCGAGACATATACTCTACAAACAAAACATCTACAATACAAACAAAACATCTTCTGTACAAAACAGAAACAGCAACCATACAAAGAAAACATCTGCAGTGCACAACAGAACATCTACAATACAAAACAGAAACATCTACATTATTATAATTATTTAAAGCCAAAACATCCCAAAGTATTAACGGCAAAAAAATCCCAGAAGTCATTGGGTTACCCTTTAGTAAAAGTGTATTTGGCTATTGATTTGTTATTTTTTGCCAAAGCCCAAAGTTTTAAGACTAAAATATGAGTTTATTGTTCTGGGGCCTGTTTCACGAAAATTTAACTAAGATAAAATCCAAATTTTAATAATTTGAATGGATAATATTAGATTGATTTTAGTGCTTAGCCAATCAAAATTGAAGTATCTACTAAAATTGGGATTTTATCTTTAGCCAAGTTTGGAGCAGAACAGTAGGACGTTAAACCCCATTTCATTTCATTTTCATTTCGTTTGTTGTTTTTGGTGCTGGAGATATGGAATTAATATACAATGGACACACATACTGTCTCTCCCACTTTCTGGGTCAATCATTACACTAGGAAATCTAACTTCGATAAATTCGATAAGTTTTCCTAAATTGAAGCAGCTTCCACTTATAGAAATAAATGTTGTATTTTTTCAGGTCCGCCCCAGTTAAACATTTTACATATGAGCTGTCGATGAGAGGTCGATTACGAAGATTACTGGTGAAGAATCCTACAACAAGTAAGTATCGAGGGATAGGGTGGCTGAATAGTTTGACATGGGTGGTGGGGGTTTCGAATGGTTTGACATGGGGAATGGGGAGGGGGTGTCGAATGGTGTGACATGGGGATGGGGAGGGGGTGTCGAATGGTGTGACATGGGGATGGGATGGTGAGCCAAATGGTTTGACTTGGGGTGGAGAGTCACCAAGAGAATTTTGATGTTCTAGAGTAAAACAGAAATTTTCTCGGCTTAAAGTGAAGCAATTTGACTGAAATTTTCAGCATATTCCATTTACATTATTTAGTTTTTTACTATTATTGTTAGAACTGCTTGTACTGAACTATAATACACCCAATTTATCTTCTGCAACACGAATACTGGCTGGTAGAAAACAATAATAGATATTTATGGGCCCCCTGGGGTTTCATGGGCCCTTGAAGAGATGTACTGGGTGCACCCCTCTCTGTTTGCCTGTGTATTAACTTATAAATTCATAGAAACTGCTGATCCCTGGGTAAAATGACTATAGCAGCATTTTGCGATAAAAAACATAAAAAGAATACATTTTAATTGGTGCGCCATTACAAGACTCACACTTGCTCAGATCACTTGTTTTTTAACTCACAAATTGCTACTAGAAAATGCTACTAGAACAAAGAAAATGGCCCGAGGACTTCGTCCCTGAAAGACCATTCTAGAAGGAACTAGATGCTGCCCCCATAGTTCCTTCTCCAGACATTTTCTTTTTACGAGCGAGAGACGGAAATGGGGTTTTATGTTTATTTGATTCAAATTTCTCATTTTGGGACTAACAAATGCTTCAATTTTATTTCAATAATTTGCTTGCGGGTAGCAGTGGGAGGAAACCACTTCCTGAATTCCACCATCTTCAATAGAAGGTTTGATCTCGCTTTAACTATGTACATCTTATCAAGGTGTTATAAAACTCGCAGTCGTTGCTTCAGGAACATGGAATTCCACATGCTTTGGCAGTGGCATACACATTTTGATAAAAGGGAGGTAATCGTGTTTCCTCACATCCTCATCAGCTACTGCTGAACACTATCTAGTTTAATATAATTTTATCTTAGATATGCTATATCACATTTTCTGGTTGCCCTATTACTAGATACGTGGTAGATACCTGAAATATTCTATCTCATCTAGTAAGTTTCAGATTATAGTATGTTTAGATACTGCACAACAACGATATATCATGGGGTTTAACTTCGACTCGACACAAACTATGTTATTTCGGGACTAACACGAGGTTGGACAGGCGACCCTACTCTTTGCCACGTACAACCGGGGATTCGAAACCACGCCAGTCGACTCAATGACAGACTTTATGATACAGCGCGCGCACGCTAACCATTCAGACATCCCCCCCCCCGAATGGTTAGCATGTGCACACTGTATCATAAGGTCTGTCACATTTTTTCAATTCCCTGGTTGTATGTGACAAGGAGTAGTGGTGCCTGTCCAACCTCATGGGTTTTCTCCGGGTCCTCTGGATTCACCCCACTGCTAAAGACCCCTACGTGCAAGCGAATTATTGAAATAAAATTAAACCATATGTTAGTCCCGAAATGACCTAGTTTGTGTCGAGTGGACGTTAAACCCCATTTCTCTCTCTCTCTCGCTAACCATTCGGTCACCCCCCCCCCCCCAGCCCCAGATATATGGTAGATTTATACCTGAAATATTCAGATCATAGGATGTTTTAATAGTACACAACAACAACGATATATCACGGGTGATTAAATCCAGTTTTAGTAGTAATTTATTGTTATAACTGGTCACTAGTGACAGTTTCCTTACTAAATATGTCAATCACAAGTCTTCACGTAGTCATCTGATTCACTGTCGACGTCAGTAGATTGTCACAATTCAAATTAATTTTAATTTATGACGTTAAAAACACTAGTTGATCGATGTTTTAGTAATTTTGACTGTTTTAGTATATTCATATCACTATAAACTTAAAGATACATTATGAGAGATAAGATAAAGAGCTGGCACTATTATAGTTAAAAAGTAGATAATGCCAATTGAATTTGCTGAAAATTTCAGTCAAATTGATCAACTATGAACCTAGATTTTAGTGATTGCATTTTCTGCCTCGATCATCATTACTAAAGTCAGTACGATAAAAAATATAGTCTTGATTATTCATTTATTAATTTAATTATGAATGGAAGTCGAACAGGAAATCGAAACCTATTTCAATTAACATATTTCAATTAACATCACAGGCTAGCGATACCAGGGTTGATTATGGTCTTGATAAGTTAATGAATGTCTAATTAATAATTTAGATACGATTTCAGGCCTAAAGAAAGACCTGCAATAGGCAGATTTAGCTCTTGCATAATGTATGTTTAATGGATTGTTTAAAATTAAAGTTCCGTTAAAAAGTCAGGTTTCTGAAGCAGATGTAATTTTTTGTATATCTAGAGAGGCCTAGATTTTTTGTCATAATTTTGAACAGAAATTACAGCAGTGTTAAGTAGGATTAGATGTAATCAAACGAAACACTGCGAAGGGTATGACTGACTAAAGATGCCTAGATCCTTCTGTGTTGTGGTGTCTTGAGTTTAGACACACTTCCTACAGACGTCTCTCTCTCTCTCTCCTCTCTCTCTCTCTCTCCCCTCTCTCTCTCTCTCCCCCCCTCTCTCTCTCTCTCTCTCTCTCCCCCCCCCACCCTAAAGAAATTTACAATTGAATGGTGATAACCACCATGACCATATTGCCTATCTTATAAAATACCGACATGTTCCTGTGGAGAACCAACTAGTTCGTTTGTCATCAACCGTTAAAAAGAAATAATTCTGTCATATTAGTGGTTTTATTGGTCTAAGGATCTACTCTCGAATTTCACAATAACTCCTCGAGTCGACAGTTAATATTTTTATTGACGCTATAACAAAACATCTTAGAATTCTGTAATACTGTGTAAGTACCCAGAATAAAAGTCGTTGAAATAGTTCTAACATTATTGACCCAAAATAAAAACACTTTCATTCATTTCCTCCACCCTTATTACTCTACTTGAAATAAAAAAAAACTGTTATTTAAGATCTTTATTACCACGATTAAAAGTCATTGAAACATTGTAAATAAAAGTTTTTTGATCGTAAGTATGGAAATGAGTGCGGAAGATCTGAATGAAAGTGTTTTGATTTGGGGGTCAATGATGGTGGAACTGTCAACAAGTTGGTGATGATTTAAACTGCGGTAACCTTAAAACATTCATAAACTAACCGAATCACCAGGGCTAATATTTTCTTAATTTTTTTAAATGAAATATATCAACATGAAAACCTACATTTGGTCAGAGGTTGTTCAACCGAATGTTTTTTTATAATTAAAGCCCTAGTTACACAAGCCAGTATTTATATTTATTTTTTGGTCATAATTAAAGTAAGATTGGAATTATTCGTAAAAAATCAATTTTCTCGTAGTCACACTAATATGTACTCAGATTGATGATCCTATATTTAATTAAGAAATTAAATTAAAATACCAGTACTACATAATCTACTGGGGGGGTGGGGGGGGGTGGATGGCCGAATAGTCAGTGCGTGCACGTTGTATCATAAGGTCTGTCATTGAGTAAACTGGCATCGTTTCGATTCCCCTGTTGTATGTGACAAGGAGTAGGATCGCCTGTCCAACCTCGTGGGTTTTCTCCGGTTTCCTCCCACTGCTAAAGACCCCTATGCGCAAGCGAATTATTGAAATAAAGTTAAACCATATGTTAGTCCCGAAATGACCTAGTTTGTGTCGAGTGGACGTTAAACCCCATTTCTCTCTCTCCTCTCTCTCTCTCTCTCTTTCATTCTGTACCCCTCTCCCTCATTTATTGTGTACCACCACCCTCTCATTCATTATTTACACCCCCCTATCATGCATTCTGTACCCCTTTCTTATTCATTCTGTACCCCTCCCCCCCCTCCAATTCATCGTTCCCTCTCTCTTTCATTAGTTTAAATATATATTATATTTTCATGATTATGTATTACTATAGTACAGTGTATTTAAAGATTTCCATGTAGTTATAAAATAAAAACAGAACTCAATGACCATTGAATACCGCTCGGGTTATTCAATGGTTCACTCGAGTGTATCCCTGCCGCATTCCACTCGCTATCGCTCAGGGATACTTGCGCAGGGATACACTCTCTTGAACCACTGAATAACCCGAGCGGTATTCAATGGTCATTGAGTTCTATCTATATATTATCAAGATTATGTATTACTATATACTATTCAAAAAAAGTAGGGGATATTTGATTTTGGGGGCATAATACTAAAATATGCAAATGACTACGAACAAAGTCACTATAGAACCTAACAGAAGAAACATTTCCAGTTACATGTGACACCCAAACGCACCAATAGCTACCGCATGGAATGCAGGTGATGCTTGGGATCATCATGGGGGTCCAACCCAAGATTTGCACGACTCTGACTTTGAATGTTACAGTCATTGTGGCATTGAATTCCAGGGTGGAAACATCAGTTTAATTGTTTTAGTGACCAGAAAACAAATTTTGATATGCGTCAACTTACCCAAAATGAAAGGTTACGTGCCCTTGGCATGCTACAGATCGGCACAACACAGGCGGTTGTGGCGCGGACGATGAATGTTTCTCAGTCTGTCATAAGCAGGCTATGGTCCAGATACCGTGATACACAATCTGTACAGGACAGACCACGCTCAGGTCGACCAAGGGCGACAACTCAAGCCCAGGATCGATTTATCCGTACCTTGGCCTTGAGAAATCGTGTCATCACAGCAAATCAGATCAGCGCTCGTCTTCAAACAGACACTGGTGTGAGAGTGAGTGGCCAGACGATTCGGAATCGACTGCATAGGGGTCACCTTCGAGCCCGACGTCCTCGCGTGATCCCTTGTTTGATCATCACATTCAGGCAAGACGTCATTGGTGTAGGGATCGTCAACACTGGGATAATCGACGCTGGAGCAATGTGATGTTTTCAGATGAGTCAAGGTTCACTGTTGATTTTTTGGACAGACGTAGGAGGGTGTGGCGTCGTCGAAACGAGCGCTTCCAAGACGTTAACGTCATCAGACATGATCGATTTGGGGGTGGTTCTGTTATGGTGTGGGGAGGCATCACTGTTGCTGGAAGAACGGCTTTACATGTTGTTGCAGGGCGTGTTACAGGCCAGTACTACCGGGACAACATCTTGGCAGTCCATGTTGTGCCGTTCGCACGACGTCATGGCCGCCGTTTCATCTTCCAGGATGACAACGCAAGATGTCACAGGGCCAGGATCGTTACAGGTTACCTCCAACAACAGAACATCACCACATTGCCTTGGCCAGCACTGAGTCCCGACCTCTCCCCCATCGAGCATGTCTGGGACATGCTTGGACAGAGGTTACGTCAACGTCAACAACGTCCTGCCAGTGTCCAAGAACTTGCTGCTGCGTTGCAACAGGAATGGGACAATCTGGACCAAAATGACCTTAGACGTCTCATTAGGAGTATGCCACGTCGTATCAATGCTTGTTTGGCAAACAGAGGAGGATTTACCCGTTACTGACTTGGTTGTGATGCTGTGGTAACTTTGCTGTTTGACCCCGGGTATCATTTTACCCTTATAATGGTCAGTCTGTGCCTTACTTAGTCTAACGATCATTTGGAATAAATCGATGAATGTGAACTTCATTTCATTTTGTCATTTGTTTCTTTGTCAGTTTCATTAGGTGACTTTAATAACACTTAAAAATCAAATATCCCCTACTTTTTTTGAATAGTATATATTTGATTTTCAGGATTATGTATTACTATATTTGATTTTCAGGATTATGTATTACTATATTAAATTATCAGGATTATGTATTACTATATTAAATTTTCAGGATTATGTATTACTATATTATATTATCAAGATTATGTAGTTTTATATTTGATTATCAGGATTATGTATTACTATATTAAATTATCAAGATTATGTAGTTCTATATTTGATTATCAGGATTATTTATTACTATATTTCATATATATATATATATATATATATATTATATTTACAGGATTATGTAGTACTATATTTGATCTATGTGTAAAGACGACGGTTTGTGTTCTCTATGTAGCCAGAGTTTGTTTAGATGATCATGAATTCTATTCTTGGTAAGTTCACCTTATTGCAATATAGTTTTCATGTGAATGCAGATCCTCAATTAACAAAATACCGGTAAACTGAAGATTCTGGTGGCATGCTTATTGCACAGAGAGCAGCATATATTGATGAAATTTCAATTCCATGTACATATCTTTGTAAATACTGAAAGGAATTGAACCATTTTTTTGACTGATAATTTCCTATAGAGATTCGTCTTAAACAATATTGTAGCTTGCAAGTGATTCATATTGCACATCAGGACTTTAATTTACATACAATAAACTTAAACATACTTTATTCAAGAGCTTAAATCTACCAATTGCAGGTCTTTATTTATTTAATTAACTTATCAAGAACATAATCAACTCTTGATGCCATCGTTAGCCTGTGATATTTAGTGGATTTGAATCCGTATTGTGATGGATGATTTAATGTAAAAATGGATAATCAAGACTTTGTTTATTATCGTACCAACGTTAATAATGACGATCAAGGCTAGCCTAGAATTGAATCGCTAATATCAGAGTGAAGCAATTTGACTGAAATTCTTTTGAGCGGATTCTGTTTACATTATCTATTTTTTAACTATTATAGTGAGAACTCTCAGCTCTTTATCTTATCTGCCGTAATGCCTTTAAGTATTTTCTTAACACACAATAAATACAGTTGAATACACAGAAAGTTTACAGGTTATTGTGCATCAATGAACTGTTGACAAGACAAACAATTGTCTTTCAAATTTCTCACCAGTCATGTTATACCTGTAACCATGGTAATTAACCAATTTATTTCAGTTATGGTGAAAAGTGTTCAGCATCTTTAAATAAAACAGATTATCCTGATTCTAATGGTTTTACGTCCGTTAATGTTCGATGGTAAATATCACAACCCTTTTACCATAATATAACAGATCAGGACAAGGAATAGAGTCTAATTGATAAGATAGTTTGACGGGGGTTTGATGGCCGAATGGTTAGCACATGCGTGCTGTATCATAAGGCCTGTCATTGAGTCAACTGCCATGGTTTTGATTCCCTGTTTGTACGTGACAAGGAGTAGGGTCGCCTGTCCAACCTCGTGGATTTTCTCCGGGTCCTCCGGTTTCCTCCCACTGCTAAAGACCCCTACGCGCAAGTGAATTATTGAAATAAAATTGAACCATGTGTTAGTCCCGAAATCACCTAGTTTGTGTCGAGTGGACATTAAACCCCATTTCTCTCTCTCCCCTTTTTAAGATGGGTTGAAAAATTGGGCTTTCATTTACATGAAATCAAATGGGGTTTAAGAGTGTATCCGCGAGAAGACCATGCAAAAATCGCAAAAAGTGCTAAGATGGGGGGTCGGAAGTTTTTGATCAAACTTATGGTATGACACCCCCTAGGGGCTAGAGGTAACATGCTGAAGTGGTTACAGTCTGATGTCGCTCTAAAGGACTGTACAGGAATTGCGGTTTTCACATGTGTATTTATCACCTTTTTTAAGCACAGACTGCATTCTATGGTGGAATAGCAACCTTCTAATTTTGACCCTGTCTGATAAAGCGGGTGGTCAACTTCTATCCCAGCACTTATTTGAAAAAAAAAAATCAGTACATACTAATTTTGTGTGGACTTGTTTTAGGGTACCATATTCACATTGTCCTTATAGTGCAGAAAAAGATACACTGTGACTTTTTCTTTCATGGTTGCAAGTAGAATTTCTTTGGATGGTTTTGAAGTGCTAAGCACATAGTATCCATAGGTGTAAAAAAAATGACCGGAATGTAACATACTTAAAATATACAGCAACTCGGTGAGAGGGTGGGTCGGGGGAAGTCATGCGGTTAGTGGTTCGAATCCCACTTTTAGGTGAATTTTTCATTTTGGTTGGATTATTTTATTTAAAATAATGTCTATTTGAGAGTATTTAGCAGTATTATCTCAGACTCAAATATGTCCGTTCCCAACCCGTTGTAGGGATCCCAAATGACTCAAACCATCGACTCAAACACACCAGTCTGGGAATTAGCTCCTGGTATGACTACAGATGTAAGGAAATGACGGATAATTTTCTTGGGGACCCCCCCCCTTAGCGGCATGCCCCGTCTCTGCGGTCAATGCCTTCATTTTGCAGCGCCCCCCCTTTTCAAAATTCCTAGATCCGCCCCTGGTATTACTAAAATTGACATGTCCATTGTATTACTAAAATTGACATGTCCATTGTATTACTAAAATTGACATGTCCAATCTGTAAGTAGGCCACATGGGGAATTCAGGGTTCTGATATTGACCCTTAATTATAAATTTGATTTCTTAAAAACGATGGCAAGTTGTTTTTATTAGTGCAGAAAGTCGACCATTTGATGGAGATTTTCTCATCCCGGTGTCAACTTGGGAATTTGGAATTGCTGAATTATTAACCCTAACCCTAACTCACATTGTGTTCCGAAACGTATTACATAGATAAAGGAATTAAAACACATCAATGACATGAATGAAAAATTATATGCAGATCATTTACCTGCTTGTCGTCCGCCCTACCAGCCTGATCTCTGCCCTACCTGTCTGATTTCATCCCCTAACCAGCTAGATCTCCCCAATTGGCCCAAACTTCACCCTTATTGGCCGGGTCTCCCCAATTGGCCTGAACTCCACCCTTAGTGGCCTGATCTCCCAAACTGGCCTGAACTTTCGCTTAGTGGCCTGGTCTCCCCAATTTAACTGATCTCCAACCTTAAGGACCTGATCTCCCAATCTGGGGGGGGGGTGCTTGTTTTTGATGTGGTGCTTGTTTTTGATATGTTGGGGTGCTTGTTTTTGATATTGGGGGTGGGTGGGGGGTTGCTGTGTTGCTTCTAGTGCTTGTTTTTGATACTGGGGGTGTGTGGGGGTGCTTGTTTTTGCATGTATATATTATGTTGTTGTATTGGTGTGTTTTTTGATTGTAGGCATGTGTTGTTGTGGGTACATCGACCGCTAGTATTATGGGTTGTACAAGTTTTATTAGCTGTTATAACTCTTGTTAAAGCATCGTTACAGATCTACGTACATACAAAGGTATGTATTTCATCTTCCGAACCACTGTAACCATGGTTCAGATCAAGCAATTTGAATAGTGATGGACAGTTTTAGAAATCTTAGATCATACTGATTGATATAGCATTTGAATAATGTCAAATAGTAAAATCAGCATTTTGATGGGATCACTACTTGTTTACTATGCATGTTGTTATTATTAACCAATCAGAGGGAGGGCTGAGGGGTGTAACCTGTATGCTTTAGATCATAAGGTCTGTTATCAATACAGAAGTCAAGAACTCATGCTTGTCATATCTTATTTATTTATATTTTAGGGAACTTGATCAAAGACTTTATTATACCATGTTTATTTATATTTTAGGGAACTCGATTATAGAATTTATCATACCATTGTTATTTATATTTGAAGGAATCCGGTTAGAGAATTTATCAAACCATTGCTATTTATATTTTATGGAACTCAATTAGAGAATTTATTATACCATGATTATTTATATTTTATGGAACTCAATTAGAGAATTTATTATACCATGATTATTTATATTTTCGGGAACTTGATTAGAGGACTTATTATACCATGATTATTTATATTTTAGGGTACTCAATTAGAGGATTTATTATACCATGATTATTTATATTTTAGGGAACTCGATTATAGAATTTATCAAACCATTGTTATTTATATTTTAGGGAACTCGGTTAGAGAATTTATCAAACCATTGTTATTTATATTTTATGGAACTCAATTAGAGAATTTATTATACCATGATTATTTATATTTTAGGGAACTCGATTATAGAATTTATCAAACCATTGTTATTTATATTTTAGGGAACTCGGTTAGAGAATTTATTATACCATGGTTATTTAATGGAAATGGCGTGTTCTTTACCTGTTATTGTTACTGTAAGTATTCATCATGGTTTCAATCCCAAGTCTTAACGTGACCAGGAATATGGTCGTCTGCCCAACTGTTTAATGCTGCGACTAGTGCTACCTTAGTTTCAATGTAATCAATGAAATGTCGTTTTATTGCATGTCAGCTCCAACTGGCCTATATTGCACCAATAGTTGCAATGTGACTGGTTTGTCTACTTGTTACATTTGATAAAGGGGTGCCACGATGGCTAAATGGGTGAGATGCTGGCTCGCTAGCCTGGAGGTCGTGTGTTCGATCTCTGCATTGCCCGAGAATGTTCATTGAAATTTTCAGAAGTGGATTCCCCTTGTCAGTGGTGCAGGACGGAGGACCTGACAAGGACAGCTGTCTAGTCATTCAGATGGAACAAAAAACCAAGGTCCTGTGTACACATCGGCATGCATGTAAAAGATCCTTGACAGTTGGAATTCGATATAAGAGTAGGCCGTAGCGCCGCTGTCCGGGCAAAATTGCCCTCATACCACACTGTATGGCGTATGCCTGGCTTCATTAGCCCAGTTGGAGCAGAACAGTAGGTTGTTAAACACCATTTATTTCATTTCATTTTACATTTAATAAGGAGTAGATTGTTCCAGTGGCATATATTATTTGAACTGGAATTACACAGGTCATAATATTATGGTAAATAAACAGATATTATAGTCCATAGAATTGTGACCTGTATTAATTCATGTGTAGTTTAAAACACCCTATACAATTTATTTGATATTTTTAACTAGATGAAATCATATTTTCTTGTCTTTTCCTTTTAATTGCTTCACATTTAAATAGGATGATAAAAACCAAGGTGAGTAATAACTGGTATGGCCAGTATAAATCTTCCTTTTGTTGGACCTCCACAAAACACCTGGATAAGTGTTGAATGCATGTGTGTGGTCGCTTATATTGCAAGTCAAAGGGGGACAATCCAGAGAGTGAACAGGACTCCTGGGTTCAAATCCTGCCGCGAGAAGTTGGAAGAGTGTAACACTACTGCCTCGGCAATATTCACCTCCTCTCATTCCACATATAAGCATAGAAAAACCAGAATGTCCTCGGTTCAAATTCGCCATGTTCCAAGAATTAGGGCCTTTGGGATTTTTAAAGCCTGTGTACTAAAATCCTGTGTCTTGACATTCAAATGTAAAAATTAGTATCTGATATTTTTAACTTGGTAAATTGTTCCATGATTCATACGGAGGGACTCTTTCAAAATTCATAGTTATTGCCCCAAATTAAAGATGATTATCTCTTGATGCTCCAACAACCATTTGATTGGTTCGTTCGTTTCTGACGTTTTACGTCTACTTCCTAAGAAACTTGTCAGAGGAAGTCACAAAATAGACTTGATCCAGCTTTTTTTTGGATAAGACACAATGTCTTTGCAGGCAGATGTCAAGGTATATTCCATCCAAAGGAGAGGCTCCGGGTGTAAGGAAAGAAAGAATGGCGAGCGTGCACAGTCTGGCCCACTTTGACATAATGCTACGATCTTAGATGTGGTAGGTCAAATTAGGTTTGACTGTCAGCCCGGCCCTAATGTCCGCCTCCTGTCAGCCGGGCCCTAGGGTCTGCCTCCTGTCAGCCGGGCCCTAGCCAGGTCACAACCATTTGGGGAGAACATGAGATTGATAGACTGTGGGCATTGCAGTGAAATACAATTTGGATGTTATTTCTGCCCAGAAGTTACTGAATTTTTTAACCACAATATTTTTTGTTAAGAGATATTATAGACTGAGTGCTATTTGCCCAGTATATTTTTGTATGATTATTTCAGGTTTTTTATCCAGTATTGTTACAGAACATGTTTTTACCCATCTTTATGAATTGTTGGCTAGCTAGATCAGCTCTAGCTAGATTGTTTGTAAGTCTATATAATCTGTTTAATCATATATATTGTGACTAACATGGTTAAATTTTATTTCATTAATTCGCTTGCGTGTAGGGGTCTTTAGCAGTGGGAGGAGACTGACGGTCCAGGAGGAAACCCAGGAGGTTGGACAGGCCACGATACTCCTCGTCACCTACAACCGGGGAATTCAGTTGACTCAATGACAGACATTATGATGCAGCACCCACGGGCTAACCATTCGGCCACCCAACCCCGCTATATCTTGTGAATAAAACATAAAACTTATATGGAATTTGATAGGAGCAAGGTATCAACAATGATTTTATGGTTGTTATCAAACAAAACAAATCTAGTTTTTTGGATGGGATGAAAAACTGAGGACAAACGGTTAGCCCAGTTGGAGTAGAAAAATAGGGCGTTCAGTTTCATTTCATTAATATTGCACATTATTGTATTTCAGAATGATCTTCACCTACGAAAACAAAGATTTCAGACGATTTCTGTGACGTTATCACAGCAGATGTTGATACTGAATATAACCTTATTATGTCTGGTTTTCACAACGTAAGTATAAATATAGTATTATACAAATATAGTATTATCAAAATATAGTATTATCAAAATATAGTATTATCCAATATAGTAACTGTCCAAATGACAGAATTGGGAAGTGAAAACGCAGGTAGGGTTGCTACTCTAACCTTGTAGCACCTGATTTATGAATTAAATTTACCCAAAATATTTTAGAATTTTGTAATAGATTTTAAGTATTGAAATCATCATTTATCATTACCATCACTAGATTCTGTACACTTTCAGGAATTAAACCAAAATTAGTCATTATGTATTTCAAAGAACCTTTTTATCTGAAAAAAAATATTATTGTATACTTTCAGAATTTTATTAATTAATAACACAATATGAATAGTTTCGACTATACATGTATTTAAGTAAACTAAAGGGGGGTGATATAGGCCTAGCCTGTTCCCCAATCCTATTCCTATTGAATAAACTATAGTTTAAAAAAAATAATTAAATTTACCATAAATTAATTTGTTGTGTGGACATTGCTCGTTTTCTCTTTAAAGGGCAATCAGATTGAAAGTCTCTTAATTTGATTATTATCATGGATCTTATAATACATACCTTATTATAAGGTCAATGTTATTATTTATTATTTATAAGCGTTTATGTAGTGCCATTTCCACAAAAGTGCTCAATGACGCTTTACAATAAACATAATATGATATTTAAAAAAAAAAAAATGACAAAACAAATATATGATTAAAACGTAAAAAGTGAATAATATACATATTAAAAATCTTTTTACTTTATTTATGCGTAGTTAATATGTATGTTATTGTCTGTGAGATTTGGTATGCATAAATAGCTTTATTTTATTAGCAATTAAAATGCTAATGCAAACCTTATGATTTATTTCATGATACAGTCTGACAGATTTTAAAATTAAAACAATAAAAGTCATGTTTAGATATCGACTTTTCATTCTATCTCGAGGTACTAATTTTATACTATAACCCTGGACGTCCTGGGTTCGAGAAAGTTCCTCAGGATTTATGGCTTGGTTCTACTTGTTAATGATGCAGGTCCATTGACAGCTTTTTTTTGTGCTTTGTGTTGTACCTTTATAATTAAATTTCATATTTCCATTTGTCTATAATTGTCTTGTTGCCAACAAACAAATCCAACCCTGTCTTTGACACAGTTCTCATAAAGTTGAGGTACTGATCATTATTTGGGAATTTATTTTTAATTTATTTTGGATTCAGTCAGATTTAAAACAGGCCTATCAATAAATGTTCATGGAGAACAACATGGCGGCAGGTTTAATTCCATATATTTATATAAACAGAAATGAACCATTTTAGAGATTACAATTTCAAAATTTTATAACATTTATAAAGGAGGGGTAAACGGGACGAATGGTTAACGTGTGTGCATAGTATCATAAGGTCGGTCTTTGAGTCAACTGGCGTGGTTTGTACGTGACAAGGAGTAGGGCTGCCTGTCCATCCTCGTGGGTTTTCTCCTGTTCCTCCGGTTTCCTCCCACTACTAGAGACCTCTACGCGCAAGCGAATTATTGAAATAGAATTTTTTTTTTTTAAACTATATTTTATTCAATAAGAATGGGATAGGGGAACAGGCTAGGCCTATATCACCCCTCTCCTTTCAACAAAACAATATAATTACAATTAGTTTACTTATATACATGAATATAGTCCAAACTATTCATATTGTGTTATTAATTAATATAATTGTGCAAGTATACAATAATATTTTACAAATAAAAGGTTAATTGATATACATAATGACTATTTTGGTTTAAGGCCTGAACGTGTACAAATATGGAAACAGAATCTAGAGATGGTAATGATAAATGACGATTACAGTACTTAAAATCTATTACTTAATTCTAAAAAGTTTTGAAATAGAATTGAACCATATGTTAGTCTCAAAATGACCTAGTTTGTGTCAAATGGATGTTAAACCCTATTTCCTTCATATTTTGAGTTATTTATATAAATTTTGTATTTCAGTATTTGTGGTATACAGCATATACAGAGAGGTAGCGAGGAGAAATCATTGACCATGTTTGAATCCATGTATTTTGTTGTTGTTACGTTTAGTACCGTGGGATACGGAGATATATCGCCCGACATTTGGCTTGGACAGCTTTTCATGTTTGTCATGATTATAGTAGCATTCACTTTTATACCGAGACAGGTGAGTTTCATCTACCTGTTTTATACCGAGACAGGTGAGATTCATCTACCTGTTACATACCAAGACAGGTGAGATTCATCTACCTGTTACATACCGAGACAGGTGAGATTCATCTACCTGTTTTAAAGTCTTGGTTCATGATCATCATTTTTATACATAAAGAATCTTGAAAATATTTTTGATGATATGAATAATGTTAGAAATTGTCACATTCTTTGAACAAGACATCTTGGTAATGTAGGGTTTTGAAAATACATCAAATATTGAATCTCTAGAAACATTTTGAAAATGTCGTGCATTTAAAATAATAATAGAAACAAAAACATATCACAAATCAGTTACGGAAAAAATGAGAGGCATCAGAAGAATTATGCCCGACATTAGAAGTTCTAGGGTGAAACAATGGCTTAGTGGGTAAGGTGCTGGCTCACTAACCTGGAGGTCACATGTTCGATCTCTGCATTGTTCGAGGAAGTAAGTGGGCCTGACAAAGGACAACGTTAGTGACAAAAAACCAGAGGTCCTGTGTACACATTGGCATGTACATAAAAGATTCCTTGGCAGTTGGAATTCAATATAAGAGTAGGCGTATGCCTGTCTTCATTAGCCTAGTCGGAGCAGAACAGTAGGACTTTAAACCCCATTTCATTTCATTATTTCAAGGGTGGGTTCCTTTGTCTACCTGATCACTTCTTTTACCGTATGTTAGTCTCTCTCTCTCTCTCTCTCTCTCTCTCTCTGCAGTAATATTATTTCATGGCTTTTTTTTGCAGCTAGAAGAAATCGCGTCAACATGGATACAACAGAAGAAATCTGGTGGAGAATATAAGAAAGGAGAATCAAGTCGTTATCGCCATGTTGTCGTCTGTCTTAAATCACCCAATACAGAAGTTGTTATGAACTTTTTAAATGAATTTTATGCCCATCCAAAACTTGAGGTAATCTGTTATAGTAATACGATTTGTATGAAAAAACTTACGTGAAATAAGTTAGATTGCTAGACACTTAGAACTTATTTTTTTTACCAAACTAAAACTTGGAGGTTTTACCCTAAACTACCTCATTTTCTACAAAACTTCCTGATTTTCTACAAAACTTCCTGATTTTCTACAAAACTGGCTCCGTCATGGGGAATTCCCTTTGGCTAACTGGGAATTCCATGCCTTGGATCATGGGACAGATTCCCAACAGGAACATCATGTCACACATTAAGACACCTAACGTGGGGTCAAACAGCTTTTCAGACATGGGAGGGCTTATTCTTTCTAAAACAACTCTGAGGAGCATCTCGAGGGTAGAATGTAGCAGTGATGTAAATATGTGGTTTACTGTGTCATTGTTTATATATCTAGGTACGTCTAGATTCTTCTGTCCTGTTATAGTGTCTCGAGTTTAAATATATTTACTAATGACTGGGGCTTTCTGTAACATTTCAAAAAACAATTTAATAAGCAAAACCTTGAAGTATTTCACATTTGTGTTGAAACAAAGAGTAAATCTGGTTTACGTTATCAGCCTTCAAAGAAACAACTGGCCTGGTGAATATCGAGCTGGCTCGCTAACCAGATGGTAATGGGTTTCATCTAAATGTTGACTGAGAAGGGTTCTTGGGATTTCTCCAGCTGAGTTTCCAGCCTAGTAAGGAAAACCATCTAGTTGTTCGTATGAGATGGAAACTGAGGTCCCATATATATACCACTGACAGCACGTTAAAGATCCCCTAAAATTTGGAAATTAAAATAAGGGTAGACCATAGTTTTCCCTCATAGCATACTTCATAGTATATACACGTCTTAATGAGCTTGGTTAGTGCCAGGGGCATTGGATGACCGAAAGGTTAAACTATGCTCGTTTGATCATAAGGTCTGTCATTGGGACAAGTGGCATGGTTTCGACTCCCTGCTTGCACGTGGCAAGGAATAGGGTTGCTTGTCCAACCGCATGGTTTTCTTCCGGGTCCTCCAGTTTCCTCCCACTGCTAAAGATCCCTATGCGCCATGCCTGGAAACAACGGTTGTAGATTTACCTGACAAAATGTCAGGCACCAATGAAATACTACCAGACATTTTCAACTTAGTGCTGGACATGTATTAATAATATCAATAAAAAAGACAAATCACGGACAAAATGACAGGCACCAGAGGTTTAGTGCCTGATAATGTCTGTGACAGGTGCCTTATTTCCAGGCTTGCTATGTGCTAACAAATTATTGAAATGAAATAAAATCGACCATACAGTATGTTGGTCCTAAAATGATCTAGTTTGTGTCGAGTGGATGTTAAACCCCATTCCTCTCTATCTATTATTTCAGGAACACTCAGTTGTACTGGTCAGTACAAAGGAACTAGAAAACGATATGCAGATGATCTTAAAAGATCCAAAATGGGCGAATCGTGTAGTTTATATCCGAGGGTCTGCCTTGAAGGATGTGGATCTGAAAAGATGTCGAATAAACTCAGCAGATGCCTGTTTCTTTTTGGCGCCAAAAAATGCGAGGGATAGAAACAAAGCAGTAAGTTGTAGATTTTCAATTGGTTGTTTTGATGAAACATTAAAATCATATTTGACATTTGAACTCCTTAAACATACATTATGCAAGAGTTAAATCTGCCTATTGCAGGTCTTTCTTTAGGCCTGACATGTTATATAACCTATTAATTAGACATTAATTAAAACGAAAAGACCTGAATCAACTCTCGAGGCATCTTGTCAGATTTTCTCTGGATTGGAATCCGATTTGCTGCTCAACGTTTATTCATGATTATCCAAATATGGATAATCGAGACTATGTTTTTCATCGTACCGACTTAAGTAGTGATGACCGAGGCTAGGCCTAAAATTCAAATGCTAATATCTTGGTTCAGAGTGGAGCAATCTGACTGATATTTTCAGCATATTCCCTTCACATTATCTAGTTTTTAACAATTGTAGTGCGAACTGCCAGCTGTTTATAATGCCCCTTTAATTTGAGTGAAAAATAAAATGGTTGATCTGTCTTTGTTGAAAAATTTTTGTTGAGATTTAACCAATTTTACACTGGATTGTCAAAACATTATAGCCTCAAATTTTCTACTTTATCAAACTCTAAGATCATATTTAATAGTGCCAAGCTCAAAACGTTTGTCAGAATTATTTTGTTGATTAATTATTTTTGGTCAATTAATTATTCACTTCATATTTTATTAGGATCAACACACTATACTCAGATCATGGGCTGTGAAAGATTTTGCTCCAAAATGTCGACAGTATCTTCAACTATTTAAAGCAGAGAATAAAATGCATGTGAAGTTTGCTGAGCATGTGGTTTGTGAAGATGAGTTTAAATATGCTCTATTAGCTAACAACTGTTTATATCCTGGTCTATCTACCCTAGTTACGTTATTACTACATACCTCCAGAGGCAGGTAATTACACTTCTTTTATTTTAATTACACTGTCTGTGTTGTAATTACGCTTTTATCATTACAATTACACTGTTATTATTATAATTACACTTTTATTATTGCAATTACACTGCCTGTGTTGTAATTACACTTTTATTATTACAATTACACTGTTTTATTACAATTACACTTTCATTAATGTAATTACACATGTATTATTATGATTAAAAATTTATAATTATAATTACACTCTTACTGTTGGAATTACACTTTTAATTACACTTTAATTATTGTAAATTACACTTTGATTATTATAATTACACTTTAATTATTATAATTACACTTATTATTACAATTACACTTTTATTATTTAAAATTACACTTTTATTATTTAAATTACACTTTTATTATTTAAATTACACTTTTATTATTTAAATCACACTTTTATTATTATCATACTTTTAGTGTTGTAATTACACTTTTATTATTACCTGTCTATTGTTGAAATTACACTGTTATTATTACAATTACTCTAATATTATTGTAATTACACAATTTTCTACTCTGTTATTTTGTTATAGAGAAGGTGAGTTGGCTAATGAACCATGGCAACAAGTTTATGGTCGTCATTCTGGAATGGAGGTTTATCATATACAGCTGTGTAAAAGTTCTTTCTTTAGAATCTACGAGGGTAAAAAATTCACAGAAGCTTCTGTAGATGCCCATCAAAGGTAGGAACTGAAACATCAAATATTGGCTCATTTTTTGTATTTTACATGATTCAACAAATTCATACACAGTTGGTCATTGAGTCAACAGGCGTGGTTCTGAATCCTCGGTTGTACGTGACAAGGAGTAGGGTCGCTTGTCCAACCTCGTGGGTTTTCTCCAGGCCCTCTGGTTTCCTCCCAATGCTAAAGACCCCGACGCGCAAGCAAATTATTGAAATAAAATTAAAACCATATGTTAGTCCCGAAATGACCTAGTTTATCTCTCTGCCATACAACAGTTGAATGCAACGTATTGGAAAGGTGTTTACAGGTTACACGATACAATTATTCTATGGGTTTTATGGCAAATTGATGTCAAGCGCATATGCTTATGCTGCGTCATTGTTCGTTCTTAGTAACTGAATAAAAGTTGTACACTTTAGATCACAAGGTCTGTCCTAGAGTCAAATGGCGTGGTTTCCATCCCACACTTGTACGTGACAAGGAGCAGGGTCGCCTGTCCAATTTCCGGATTTCTCTAGCTGCTAAAGACCCATACGTGCAAGCCAATTAGTGAAATAAAATAGAATCATATGTTAGTCACGAAATAACCTGGTTTGTGTTGAGTTTCTAATCCCATCTCTCTCTTTATAGATATGGTGTATGCTTAGTGGCTGTTTTAGATGTCAACAAATCGGAACCACGCCTACAGTTAAATCCGGGCGCCGATCATGTCCTGAAAGGGTCAGACTTCTGCTTTTATCTGGGAATGACTCGTGAGGAATATTCCAAAATAACTGGCAGTCCTGAAGAGACATCTGTTGATTCGGTCAGAACTAAAAATATTGGTAGGTTAATATGTTTTATCATACATGACTAATGGTGTTTTAGCACAATGTAAGAGTAAATATGTTTTATCATACATATGGCTAATCGTGTTTTAGCACAACGTAAGAAATGTCAAAGCTGCCAAACTGACAATATTTATGAAATATTGCTACGGCCTACTTGTATTTTGATCTCTGCTTTATAGTATACACAGAACCTTAATTGGTTTTTGACCCTCCATCCTGCACAAACTGACAAAGGGAAACAACTCTGGACATATCCTGAGGAATGTTCTCAGCAAACACAGGAATCTCTGATTATAATCTTTGAGTGGCATTTAAGCATCGGTAAACACATTAACAGAACACAGTTTTTATACGCCCACATTTTCATGAGGATGTATATTGTCGTCGCCCCTGTCCGTCCGTCCGTCCGTCCGTCCGTCCGTCCACAATTTGTTTGTGGACTCTCTACAGGTCACAATTCTTGTCCGATTTTGACGAAACTTGAAATATAGGTTTATCCCCAAAAGATCTTGGCTGCTTCCGATATTGGCATGTATCGGATCGAAACTTCATGGATTATGGCCCCTGTTTGTACGAAAAATCACGTTTTTAGCTTGTGGACCCTATAGAGGTCACAATTTTTATCCGATTGATTTTGTTGAAACTTGAAATGTAGGTTTATAACCCAAAGATCTCAGTTCCTTTCGATATTCGCGCATATCGGACCGTAACTTCCTGAATTATGGCCCCTGATTGTACGAAAAATCGTGTTTTTAGCTTGTGGACCCTAGAGAGGTCATAATTTTTATCCGATTTAAAAAACCGTATTAATATGTAAGTTTATTACACAAAGATCTCAGTTCCTTTCGATATTCGCGCATATCGGACCGTAACTTTCTGAATTATGGCCCCTGATTGTACGAAACCCAAAGATCTCAGTTCCTTTTGATATTCGCGCATATCGGACCGTAACTTCCTGAATTATGGCCCCTGATTGTACGAAAAATCGTGTTTTTAGCTTGTGGACCCTATAGAGGTCATAATTTTTATCCGATTTAAAAAACCGTATTAATATGTAAGTTTATTACACAAAGATCTCAGTTCCTTTCGATATTCGCGCATATCGGACCGTAACTTTCTGAATTATGGCCCCTGATTGTACGAAAAATCACGTTTTTAGCTTGTGGACTCTATAGAGGTCATAATTTTTATCCGATTTAAAAAAACGTATTATTATATCACCGTTGCACCCTAAGGATGACTGAGTTCGAATTTCGTGAAAATCGGTCCAAAATTGCCAGACAAAATGGCCGCTGTTCGTTCTCAAATAGCGTAAACATATGGTATATCAAGGATGTGGACCCTATAGAGGTCACAATTTTTATCCGATTTTGTTGAAACTTGAAATGTTTACAAGTTTATAACCCAAAGATCTTAGTTTTTTTCGATATTCGCGCATATTGAATTTTAATTTCCTGAATTATGGCCCTTGATTGTACAAAAAATCACGTTTTTAGCTTGTGGGCCCTATAGAGGTCATAATTTTTATCCGATTTAAAAAATCGTATTATTATATCACCGTTGCACCCCAAGGACGACTGAGTTTGAATTTCGTGAAAATCGGCCCAAAACTGACCGACAGAACGGCCGCTCTTCGTTCTCAAATAGCGTAAAAATATGGTATATCAAGGTTGTGGACCCTATAGAGGTCACAATTTTTATCCGATTTTGTTGAAACTTGAAATGGAAGTTTATAACACAAAGATCTCGGTTCCTTTCGATATTTGCGCATATCGGACCTTAACTTCCTGAATTATGGCCCCTGATTTTACGAAAAATCGCGTTTTTAGCTTGTGAACCCTATAGAGGTCATAATTTTTATCCGATTTTGTTGAAACTTGAACTGTAAGTTTATAACCCAAAGATCTCGGTTCCTTTCTATATTCGCGCATATCTGACCCTAACTTCCTGAATTATGGCCCCTGATTGTACGAAAAATCGTGTTTTTAGCTTGTGGACCCTATAGAGTTCATAATTTTTATCCAATTTAAAAAAAATGTATTATTATTACACCAGTACACCCTAAGGACAGCTGAGTTCGAATTTTGTGAAAATCTGCCCAAAACTGACAGACAAAATGGCTGCCCTTCATTCTCAAATAGCGTAAAAATATGGTATATCAAGGTTGTGGACCCTATAGAGGTCACAATTTTTATCCGATTTTGTTGAAACTTGAAATGTAAGTTTATAACCCAAAGATCTAGGTTTTTTTCGATATTCGCGCATATTGAATTTTAATTTCCTGAATTATGGCCCTTGATTGTAGGAAAAATCACTTTCTTCTTAGCTTGTTCTCTATCCATCTCTCGAAAATGTGGGCGTATCCTGCCTGGCAGCCGCTGGTTATGGGATACAATCACTAGTTTTCTTCTAAAAGCACCATGTTAATCTCCTGATTAGTGAGCCAGTGTCATGCTCATTCACTTACCGACACCATGACTCCCTTTAAATCAAAGATAAGGTTATATTATTGAAATCTGAGTTTATATTTTTGAAATTTGGCTTTATATTATTAAAACTTGAGTTTATATTATTAAAACTTGAGTTTATATTAAAACTTGAGTTTATATTAAAACTTGAGTTTATATTAAAACTTGAGTTTATATTAAAACTTGAGAGAAAGAGAGAGAGAAATGGGCTTTAACGTCCACTCGACACAAACTAAGTCATTTCGGGACTAACATATGGTTTAATTTTATTTCAATAATTCGCTTGCGCGTAGGGGTCTTTAGCAGTGGGAGGAAACCGGAGGACCCGGAGAAAACCCACGAGGTTGGACAGGCGACCCTACTCCTTGTCACGTACAATCGGGGATTCTAAACCACGCCAGTCGACTCAATGACAGACTTTATGATACAGCGCGCGCACGCTAACCATTCAGCCATCCAACCCACCCATTAAAACTTGAAATGCTATTACCAGATATTGAGACTTGAGTTTATGTTATTGAAACTTGGGTTTATATTATCAAAAATTGAGTTTATTTTATCAAAAATTGAGTTTATATTAGTTTATATTATCTAAAATTGAGTTTATATTAGTTTATATACTATTCAAAAAAAGTAGGGGATATTTGATTTTGGGGGCATAATACTAAAATATGCAAATGACTACGAAAAAAGTCACTATAGAACCTAACAGAAGAAACATTTCCAGTTACATGTGACGCCCAAACGCACCAATAGCTACCGCATGGAATGCAGGTGATGCTTGGGATCATCATGGGGGTCCAACCCAAGATTTGCACGACTCTGACTTTGAATGTTACAGTCATTGTGGCATTGAATTCCAGGGTGGAAACATCAGTTTAATTGTTTTAGTGACCAGAAAACAAATTTTGATATGCGTCGGCTTACCCAAAATGAAAGGTTACATGCCCTTGGCATGCTACAGATCGGCACAACACAGGCGGTTGTGGCGCGGACGATGAATGTTTCTCAGTCTGTCATAAGCAGGCTATGGTCCAGATACCGTGATACACAATCTGTACAGGACAGACCACGCTCAGGTCGACCAAGGGCGACAACTCAAGCCCAGGATCGATTTATCCATACCTTTGCCTTGAGAAATCGTGTCATCACAGCAAATCAGATCAGCGCTCGTCTTCAAACCGACACTGGTGTGAGAGTGAGTGGCCAGACGATTCGGAATCGACTGCATAGGGGTCACCTTCGAGCCCGACGTCCTCGCGTGATCCCTTGTTTGAGAGATCATCTCATTCAGGCAAGACGTCGTTGGTGTAGGGATCGTCAACACTGGGATAATCGACGCTGGAGCAATGTGATGTTTTCAGATGAGTCAAGGTTCACTGTTGATTTTTTGGACAGACGTAGGAGGGTGTGGCGTCGTCGAAATGAGCGCTTCCAAGACGTTAACGTCATCAGACATGATCGATTTGGAGGTGGTTCTGTTATGGTGTGGGGAGGCATCACTGTTGCTGGAAGAACGGCTTTACATGTTGTTGCAGGGCGTGTTACAGGCCAGTACTACCGGGACAACATCTTGGCAGTCCATGTTGTGCCGTTCGCACGACGTCATGGCCGGCGTTTCATCTTCCAGGATGACAACGCAAGATTTCACAGGGCCAGGATCGTTACAGGTTACCTCCAACAACAGAACATCACCACATTACCTTGGCCAGCACTGAGTCCCGACCTCTCCCCCATCGAGCATGTCTGGGACATGCTTGGACAGAGGTTACGTCAACGTCAACAACGTCCTGCCAATGTCCAAGAACTTGCTGCTGCGTTGCAACAGGAATGGGACAATCTGGACCAAAATGACCTTAGACGTCTCATTAGGAGTATGCCACGTCGGATCAATGCTTGTTTGGCAAACAGAGGAGGATTTACCCGTTACTGACTTGGTTGTGATGCTGTGGTAACTTTGCTGTTTGACCCCGGGTATCATTTTACCCTTATAATGGTCAGTCTGTGCCTTACTTAGTCTAACGATCATTTGGAATAAATCGATGAATGTGAACTTCATTTCATTTTGTCATTTGTTTCTTCGTCAGTTTCATTAGGTGACTTTAATAACACTTAAAAATCAAATATCCCCTACTTTTTTTGAATAGTATATTATCAAAAATTCAGTTTATATTATTAAGACTTGAATTTATATTATTGAAACTTGAGTTTATATTATTGAAACTTGAGTTTAAATTATTGAAACTTGAGTTTAAATTATTGAAACTTGAGTTTAAATTATTGAAACTTGAGTTTAAATTATTGAAACTTGAGTTTAAATTATTGAAACTTGAGTTTATATTATTGTAACTTGAATTTATAATATCGATGTTTGAGTTTATATTATTTGTTTGATTTATCTGATAGAATTGATTGCGTCTGAGATACAGAAATGGTTACAGAGTGAAGATGATGCTGATTGTGACGATGAAGAAAGTGTATTTAGTACAATAACAAGTCAACTTGGTAAAACAATATCAGCTAGATTACATAACGAAAGCCAGGATGGTTAGTACCAATATATATATACAGGATTACGCTCTTTGGTCCGCTTTCACCTCATTGTCCGGAAATTTAATCATAACCTAATAGAAGTGCCATACACAAGGGTAGACATAAGGCCCCCATCACAGACTTTATTAGTATAAATTATCTAACCAACCTAGACATAAAGCATCTGTCACCACCTATCACACACAAATTATAATACACTGGACATCGTACAGGGTGGATACAATATGCCTGATTACACAGCATGTTGGAATACTCAATTGTCTCAATACTGGAAGTATTATACCAGAAGGGGGGGACGGGTGTGGATGGCTGAATGGCTAGCATAAAGCCTGTCATTGAGTCAACTGGTGTGGTTTCGAATCCCCGGTTGTACGTGGAAAGGAGAAGGGTCGCCTGTCCAGCCTCGTGGGTTTTCTCCGGGTCCTCCGGTTTGCTCACACTGCTAAAGACCCCTATGCGCAAGCGAATTATTGAAATAAAAATAAACCATATGTTAGTCCCAAAATGACCCAGTTTGTGTCGAGTGGACGTTTAACCCCATCTCTCTCTCCCCCTCTCTCTCTCTCTCTATCTATCTCTCTCTCTCGAATACCGAGAACTTAAAATAGGATGAATTTAACTGTCAGTCAGGTACGACGGCAAATATATCTGAAACAAGAACTCTAGTACAACATTTTATCCTGGGGGTTGAATCTACTTGATTTCTATTCCCTCACAATCATGAACAAGAGGGAGAGAGAAACGAGGTTTAACGTCCACTTGACACAAACCAATTTTATTTCAACAATTTGCTTGCGCGAATGGGTCTTTAGCAGTGGGAGGAAACCTGACGACCCGGAGAAAACCCACGAGGTTGGATAGGTGACCCTACTCCTTGTCATGTACAACCGGGGAATCGAAACCACGCCAAGCTGACTCAATGCCAGACTTCATGATGCAATGCACTAACCATTGAGCCATCCACCTCCACCCCCACTTCCAGTCATAAACAATGATTTTCAAATAACGAAAAGAACTGGGGACCATAGTTCTTACTACAGCATATTGATAGTAACGGGGAAAACCTGGTGTTTTGAAAACGATACTCAGACTCTTAAAGGCTCAATACCACTCTTGTTGTAACAGAATAATATGTCCCACTCTTTATTCTAGTCAACAAATTGTACTATTTTACAATATTCCAATTAACTGGTGATACAAATTTCATCTTAAAACACCTAATTTAAAAAATTGGAAAATTTCAACTAATGATTTGAAAAGCCTGAAGTAAAGCTTTTCAAATGTGACTTGGATTTAAAAATATTTTCGATTCCTCTGGACAAGTGAAATAGTATGTAATGGATAATTTACACAACAGGTAGGACACTTAAACATCTAATACTTAGAATAAGGCTATTTCTTATTTTCTGGACCTGTCAAGCCAGCAAGAGTGTTGTTGTCCCTTTAAATGGCTGTATTGAAAAACCCGGTGATTTGAAAACGATAATCAGACTCTTAAATGGCCCTATTGAAAATTCTATTGTTCTTTCTGTGAATCAGTGTCAACACCACTCCTGAAGATGAAAAACGATAAAGATCTCGGCAAGAATCTAGATCCAGTTACAGCTGAAAAAGGAACGGAAACACTGGAACGATTTCCGCAACAAGAATCTGGGAAAATTCTGCAGTATTACGATGATATGGGACAGGAAAGGTGAGCTTTAGTAACAACCGTTGGTTTATACACTGATTCAAAAACTGATTTGTTTAGTTAATGTTTCTTGTTTTTAGCGTTGAAATCCTGCAAATTAGTAACCACACACTACCAAACACAAAAACATGAGGGGGCGGGATGTGGGGGCTGTCCGAATGGTTAATGAATGCTTGTTAGATCAGAAGGTCTGTTATTGAGTCAAGTGGTGCGGTTTCGATGACAAGGAGTAGGGTATCACCTGTCCAACGGTTTCCTTCCACTGCTAAAGACCCCTACGCACAAGTGAATTATTGAAATAAAAATTGAACCATATGTTAGTCCCGAAATGACCTAGTTTGAGTCAAGTAAACGTTACGATCCATTTCTCCCTTAAGCAAAGTGCAGACTGGTTAACATAAACGGAAAAAAAAATTGGTTTAGATAATGTTTGTTGTTTATTGTTGAATTACTGCAAATCAGTAAAATCAAATGAACAAAAAAAAAAACACAATCGGGCAATTAATTCAAATTATTACAACTGGTGGTTTACAATAAAATGAAAGAAAAATCACATGATCTCAAAATTGTGGCAAACATTAAATTTAAGAAGATTGGCCTAGTTTTTTTAATTTAATAGAAGTAGGTCTGTCTTCATTTTGAATGTCGGGGTTGGGGGGTGGCTTGGATGGCTGAATGGTAAGCACGTGCGCGCTGTATCATAAAGTCTGTCATTGAGTCAACTGGCATGGTTTCGATTCCCCGGTTGTACGTGACAAGCAGTAGGCTCGTCTGTCCAATCTCGTGGGTTTTCTCCGGGTCCTCCGGTTTCCTCCCACTGCTAAAGACTCCTATGTGTAAGCGAATTATGGAAATAAAATTGAACCATATGTTAGTCCCGAAATGACCTAGTTTGTGTCAAGTGGATGTTAAACCCCATTGAAAACTCACAAGGTTGGACAGGTGATACCCTACTCCTTGTCATGTACAAGCGGGGAATCAAACCCACGCCATTTGACTCATTGATAGACCCTATAAACTAAAATTGAAAAGAAGAGTATGGGGTTGACCTAAACAGAACATTGTATTTGATGAATTTTGTGGATTATCAACTTATACATGATCCATTGTACCAGTATGTGTAACCGGTAGATCGAAGGGGGATAACTCTACTTATTTAAATTTCTATCAATGAAATATATTTTGATTTTGTTACAGTTTTATAACAGGACCACCTCCAAGTACATTATACGTGGGAACTAGACGAACTATATGTTATCTTCATAAAGAGGCTCGACCATTATGTTGTACACAATGGGGACAGGTACGTTCTATGGCATATCTTTTAACAGTTACAAATACTAAACAATTACTTACACAATAGGCCTATTTATTTATTTATTTTTTATTTATTTATCTATTTAAAGATATTTATCTATTTACAATATTTATTTATTTATTGATTTATTTATATTTATCTATTTACGATATTTATTTTTTATTTATTCATTTTTTATTTAACAATATTTTTCTATGAACGATATTTATTTTTTATTTATTTATTATTTAACGATATTTATCTATTTACGATATTTAATTATTTTAGGCGTGTGAACATTGTTTATTTTATGTTTATTTTAGGCATGTGAACATTGTTTATTTAAAACAGCTAAAGATGATCGGTGGGATCAACAGTTGATTATTCTGGTAGCAGGATATGGTAGTACAGGAATTTATAATTTTATCGTACCATTACGATCAGATTATCTTAGCGTTAATAACCTCAGTCCTATTATTCTTCTACTTGAACAAGAGTAAGTCAGACATTATTTCTATCAAATAAAACAATTTTGATCAAGTGTAAGTTTGTCATTATTTCTATCAAATAAACCAAACAGCACCACAATATTGAAATTTGAGACAGTGTGTCCTTTCCTGTAATATTTCTGAAGTATATCTCGTTAACCACTCAAGAGGAATCTTTGTACACACATAAACTTATCGTGAATTTATGCTAATCAGAAATTTCTCCTTTCAATAGTTTTTGTGTTCCACAGAAACAAATCAGACTTTTTCCATGGCAGATATAATGGGATGGTCAACCCTATTTGCTGCTCATCTTGTACATTAATAGTATTCGTGTACCTTTCAAAACATGTACAATAACATTATCTATCCCTGTACCGTCTAAAACATTTCTAATGGTGTGTGTGTGGGATCGATGATTGAGTTTGCTTGTTTATAAAAGTGGTTGGTTGGTCGATTGGTTTAACCTGTGTGTTTTAGGTCATAAGCTCTGTCACTGAGTCTGTTAAGCCAAGGCTTGTACGTGACCAGTAATATGGTCACTTATCTAACCTTGTGGATTAACACCCTGTAAGCTGTCAGAATTGAACATCCATTGACCATGTGGTCAAAGGTTACAGTTTCTAACTGTTGTGAAATTCTCTGACCTATTTTTGTAAAGGTATTAAATTAATAGTTTTGGGTATTTTTACTGTTGTAAAGGTTTTAGATTATAAGTATCGGATATTTTTATTTTTTCAGGCCGGATGTAATGTTTATTGAAACTATCGCACATTTCCCATTGGTTTATTGGATGCAGGGGAAAATGACGAAGTAAGGTTTTTATTTCTACATACAAAGTTCCTGTCTGCGCTCCTTTTCTCAAATTGAACTTTTCATCCCATAAATGCCCAGATGTAATCTTTACAGTTGGGTGATCCAACACACACGCTTTAGATCATAAGTTCTGTCATTGAGTCGGGGGATCACGTGGCTAAGTGGGTAAGACGCCGGCTCGCTAGCCTGGAGGTCAGGTGTTCGATCCCTGCATTGGCCGAGAAAGTTCATCCAGATTTTCAGGCGCGGTTTCCCCTTGTCAGTGATGCAGGACGGAGGGCCTGACACGGACAGCTGTCTAGTCGTTCAGATGGTACGAAAAACCAAGGTCCCGTGTGTACACATTGGCGTGCACGTAAAAGATCCCTTGACAGTTGGAATTCGATAAAAGAGTAGGATATAGTGCTGCTGCATGGGCAAAATTTTCCTCATATCACACATTGTATGGCGTATGCCCGTCTTCATTAGCCGAGTCAGAGCAGACCAGTAGGACGTTAAACCCCATTTCATTTCATTGAGTCAAGTGGTTTAACCATTTCTGTCTCTTGCCCTTGATTGAAGTTAAAGACAACAGATTATTTACCCTCTTTGTATCATATTTCACGACTTTACGAACCATGTTACCGTTGTTTTACAGTATTGATGATTTATTAGTGGCTGGTATAAACAAGGCTACACATCTGGTTGTTGCTAATAAGGAGAGTGATACGGACGCCAATGAAGAGATTTTAACCGATGCAGAAACAGTTGTTACTGTTCAAAAAATAACAAAGTTAGTCGTAAAAAAAATTTATTACTGAAAATTAGGAACTATTGGCACCATAAAATTCTTTTTGAATTGCAAGTAGATTTTGTAATTATCAGTAATTTGTTGACCAACGTTTTGACCAATGCCATATTGGTTGAAATTGTGCTATTAGACTAGTTCGGTTACAGTTGAGGTTAGAAAACTCTGAATGAAACATTGTACACAGAGAATCTAAGGAAGTTTAAACATGTTTTTACATAGTTTGAGGACACCTTTTTAGTTTTAGATTTATAAATTGTTTTTGTTAAATTGGTAAGAATGCCCCATGCTTAGGCTTCCTACTCAGTGTATACTCTTGAAAACATCATTTAAACTCAGTTTTTTAATAACTTCCTCACCTAAAGAAAGACTCCCCAAGATATGGGGCCCTTTTCAGTGCTCGGCTCTTGGGCGGTCCCTGATTTATTTGCCCTCAATTAACCTGTATGACAATTGCGTAAATCAGATGATAATTTTCCTAAGTTCTGGTGAATCATGTTCGTAATCGTCGTAGTTTTTATTGCCTGGCAAGCTATCTTTTTTGTGTTCTTTTTTTCAGTTTGTTTCCCTCCACAAATGTGATAACAGAATTAAATGATGCTACCAATATGAGATTTATGCAGTTTCAAGCCCACGATGCCTACTCACAGTCTATTTCTAAATTAGAAAAAGTGAGATTTTAATCATAATTTCAATCCTTTAGGCATATTTAAACCAATTTTATTACAAATAATTATTTTTATTACAATAATGATACCTTTTATTACAAATGATCTGAGTTGTGGAGTGGACGGGGGGGTGGATGGCCGATTGGTTAGCGCGTACATGCTCTATCATTAGGTCTGTTATTGAGTTGTACGTGACAAGGAGTAGGGTCGCCTGTCCAACCTCAAGGTTTTTCTCAGGGTCCTCCGGTTTTCTCCCTCTGCTAAAGACTCCTACGCACAAGCAAATTATTTAAATAAAATTAAACCATATGTTAGTCCTGAAATGATGGCTGAATGGTTAGCACCTGCGTGTTGTATCATAAGGCCTGTCATTGAATTATGGAATTATGGAAATAAAATTGAACCATATGTTAGTCCCAAATTTACCTAGTTTGTGTTGAGTGGAAGTCAAACCCCATTTCTCTCTCTCTCTCCTCCGGTTTCCTCCCACTGCTAAAGACGCCTACGCGCAAGCGAATTATGGAAATAAAATTGAACCATATGTTACTCCCAATTTTACCTACTTTGTGTCGAGTGGATGTCAAACCCAATTTCTCTCTCTCTGATTTGAGTTATCTCCCTTTTGTCTATAGTTATTCCTAACGTTTATTATTTCAGAAATTAAAACAAGAGACCAACTCCAATTTACCACATCTATTCCGTCTACCGTTTGCCTCGGGTCAGGTATTTAGTGCTGGTATGTTAGACAGATTACTGTATCAGGTAAAATATTTTAAATTATAATTTCTTCATTTTATCTTTTAAAGTAAGTGCTGGAGGATGCCACTACATGCTAGCAAAATGGAAAAGACAAACCCGAGGACAGGACAAACTACACAGACGTTTTCCCCTGTTCAATCAGCAGGTAGTCTAGTAAAAATGCAGGAGAACCGAACTACAAGACTAAGACTAACTTGCGGACAAGAAAAAAACTAAACTAACATTGTAAGCTATAAACAAATATGAAATGAAGCTAATGGATCCAGGGTTAGCTGTAAGCATCCACTGTTCTGTACGTTATTAAGAGAGATGGTGTCTTGTTTGATAATGTCTTTAGTGTTCGCAGATACAAATAAAATTTACGGTTTAAAGCAGGGCTGGGGGTAATGATAATGGTAATGGAATGTAATCGTTACATTTTTTAAGTAATGGCCATGTAATGGAAGATTTCAAAAGTAATGAGTAATGGAAATGTAATTGATTAAATTCCAAAAATCATGTAATGGGCAATTACATTTCAATTTCTTTTCATTTACATTTTATGGCACATTTAAATCTGTCCAATATAACTAGCCTCAAATTTTATAGCATCAAAGAAGTAATTTAAGTCTATCGGACACAAATCCAATTCATATAATTTTAAAAAAAGGTTTGAATTAGTTTTAATGAATTATAATAGAAATAAGAAGGCATTAAACATTTTCTTTTATTACTTTTTTGTAATGTTCATGTAAGACCTTTATTTAGACATGTAACCTGAAAAGAGGATTTCTGAAAAGATGTATATTGTAATCAGAGATTAGTGCTAATTTGCAGGCAATCACATATAGTCAATCAGTCAATCATTCTGTTTTAAAGTTCTACAAACCCTTGAAGACTGAATCATGAAATCAGTAGAAACTGACCAGAACTTGCATTTGGACTTGATTAAATTTTTTAATAGCTTAAATGCTGGGTGTCATACATGAGATTGTGTGAGCTGACTGTTTCTAGAACATCTGATACCACATGTTATAGTTAACAAACTTTCCTAGTACATGTTGTATCTTTGTAGAAAACTATAAATTGGATGAATTGGTCAACCAATGGCTGTAGAAGTTTAAATGGTGCTGAAATGAAATGAAATAGTGTTTCACATTCTATTTTTTTGCTCCAATTGGGCTAATGAAAAAGGAGGGTGCTAACTGGTTAGGTTAGGGTTGGGGTTAAAAAACTGTGTGAACGAAACTTTGTAGCTTTGGAATAATGACATACAGTTAGGTTAGAGTTAGGGTTAGAAAACTCTGTGAATGAAACTTAGTAGCTTTGGAATGACATACAGTTAGGGGCCAGATTTACCTACTTTTGGCGGCTAGGTCAAACTTAACAGTGGCCCCTAAGATACCTGTTGGTCCTAGGACAATGGCCTACTATTCTGTGATTCCTGGGACAATGGCCTACTATTCCGTGGTTCCTAGGACCATGACCTACTATTCTGTGGTTCCTGGGACAATGGCCTGTCAATAAACTATGGTAACACATATATTTGTTTTATTTTTCAGACATTTGTAAAAGGATATTTGATAAGTTTTGTGAGATTATTACTGGGTATTGACGCTGAACAAAATTCAGGACATTTATCTAGTGTGAGTATTTTAAGATATAAGAACAACACAAACTTTGTCAGTTTGAATTCAATAAAGAAGAAGAAGAAATACTGGTTTCCGAGCAAAATTGTTCCCTTCCCCCACCCTCAGTTATGGTTTTGATTCCCAAGTTGTACGTGACAAGGAGTAGGGTCGTCTGTCCAACCTTGTGGGTTTTCTCTGGGTCCTCTGGTTTCCTCCCACTGCTAGAGACCCCTACGCACAAGCGAATTATTGAACCATATGTTAGTCCCGAGGTCACGTAGTCGTGTCGAGTGGACGTTTAACCCCAACTCTCTCTCTCTCTCTCTCTCCACCCTCGGACGACATTGTACTCATAGAGAGAGAGAGAGAGAGAGAGAGAAATGGGGTTTAACGTCCACTCAACACATACTAGGTCATTTCGGGACTAACATATGGTTTAATTTTATCTACATAATTCGCTTGCGCGTAGGGGTCTTTAGCAGTGGGAGGAAACCGGAGGACCCAGAGAAAACCCACGAGGTTGGACAGGCGACCCTACTCCTTGCCATGTACAACCGGGGATTCAAAACCACGCCAGTCGACTCAATGACAGACTTTATGATACAGCGCGCGCACGCTAACCATTCAGCCATCCAACACCCCTTGTACTCATATAAATGAAAATTAACCATATGCTAGTCTCACAATGATGGTATTATTGTGTTGATATCAACCATATGTTAGTCTCAGAATTATGGTAGTATTATGTTGATATTAACCATATGTTAGTCTCAGAATTATGGTAGTATTGTGTATATGTTAGCCATATGTTAGTCTCACAATGATGGTATTATTATGTTGATATGAACCATATGTTAGTCTCAGAATTATGGTAGTATTGTGTTGATATGAACCATATGTTAGTCTCAGAATGAACAAAGTATTGTGTTGATATGAACCATATGTTAGTCTCAGAATTATGGTAGTATTATGTTGATATTAACCATATGTTAGTCTCAGAATTATGGTAGTAATGTGTTGATATGAACCATATGTTAGTCTCAGAATGAACAAAGTATTGTGTTGATATGAACCATATGTTAGTCTCAGAATGACAAAAGCATTGTGTTGATATGAACCATATGTTAGTCTCAGAATGACAAAAGTATTGTGTTGACAAGATATTAAAGCCAATTCCATTCTTTTGGAAGCCATTAACAATCTTTGAACATTTTTATTGACAGTCTGAGAACTGAACTAAATTATCTCCCTTGAGTCTTCAGTAAACCTAAATGAAATGAAATTTAATGGAGTTTAATATCCTTCTTTTCTGCAAGGATTAGGCTAATGAATACGGACAGACACTATACAGTGTGCTATGAGAAAATTTTGCAAGGATTAGGCTAATGAATACGGACAGAAACTATACAGTCTGCTATGAGAAAATTTTGCCTGAGCAACTGATATAGATATCACAGAAAATAATGAAATAATAGAATTTTGTTCTGGATATTGATGTAGACATTTTAATTTATATTTAAAGGTTCGAGTACGTCGTGCTACATTGGCCCAGTTTCCCACCTACAATGACCTCTATCAGGGGTTAAGTTCCACCACCGGGGAAATACCCATAGCTATTTATAGAACAGAGAGACGTCCTGCTTTATCCGTATCATCTTTTGATGAAAAACCTGTAAGTTAAAGTAACATGCCATTATCATACTAGAACACCTAGTACCACCTGTTATACCCACTAGAGCACCTCATACCATATCTGATTCCCTCAGAACACCTAATACCACAACTTATTCCCCCAGAACACCTAATACAACATCTTATTCCCACTAGAACACCTACTACCACATGTTATACCCACTAGAACACCTCATACCATATCTTATTCACCCAGAACACCTAATACCACAACTTATTCCCGCAGAACACCTAATACTACATCTTATTCCTACTATAACATCTAATACACATCATATTCCCACTAGAACACATAGTACCACCTGTTATTCCTACTAGAACACCTAATACCACATCTTATTACATCTAGAACACCTAATACCACATCTCTTATTGTATCACTATTTATATATTATTTCAGAAATACTACAATGGGCTATTATTGAGAACATTTTAACTTACAAATCAATGAAAACTTTTTTCTTTTCTTTTCTTTTTTTTTTTTTTACAAAATATGAGAACCTAAGTTAAAAGTTTTTAGAATAGTTGGAGTTTATTTATTTAAACATTTTATGTCTATGAAGTCATAGTGAAAGATTTCAATGTTTAGGTCTGCGAACTTTGATTTGGAGAATATTATCAATTTCCATGCTTGACAACCATTTAAAACTGTTTTTTTCAATCATACAATATATTGTTTCTTTATTTCAGTTCTCAAACAACAATACTAAAATACGCCATAACAATATTCGATCCCGTCCATCCATTCCTGCAAAGCTGTTCGTCCAACAGGATGAAGATTTTGACCAGCCGAGTGAACTGGTGTATAGTCGAATGAGAAGTTTGGATTTAAGCGATGACATTCCATGTAAGTGTTTTACTGTAGCTGGAGGCAGACCATCATATTTCAACATCCAATATTAACATTATAAGATCCCGTGAGAATCAATAGTTCGTTTCGTTTTTTATAGTTTACAATTTCGTTTCATCTATTTACTACAATAGATCAGGAAAAGTTGTTATAACAGGCGTTCTAGTTGAAGTGAGGGATTAGCCAATGAAATAGTCTGTTACGGCGAGTTCTTGGCGTCCTCTGCACGGAACTGTGGGCAAACCCCTAGAAACGTCAACACTGATTGATTAATCAATGTCTGACGTCATAGGGTCAAAAAACGCTTGTACAACTGGTCAGATCTTCGTGTTGTGTAGGACATCGAAAGTATAAAAAGAAGGAAACGAAATAAAGACCTGTATTGTAATCAGATTGCGTGAGATTGTATTTGCATCTTGCCAGCGAGAGCGTGTTTTCGAATCCCAGGTTGTACGTGACAAGGAGTAGGGTCGCCTGTCCAACCTTGTGGGTTTTGTCCGGGTCCTCCGGTTTCCTCCCACTGCTAAAGACCACTACGCGCAAGCGAATTATTGAAATAAAATTAAACCAAATGTTAGTCCCGAAATGACCTAGTTTGTGTCGAGTGGACGTTAAACCCCATTTCTCTCTCTCTCTCTCTGCCAGCGAGAGTCGGTGCGTGCACAAGCATAGAACCTGTCTCACAGCATTCTGCTTTTTTTATTTCATACCACAGGGCACACAATCGTTGCATGGCAACACTATATTTCATGAGGTCAATATTTAGATGTACTATGAATGATTTTTCAGATGAAAGTGTAGCCGAGAGAAATATTCTATCATATGTAATAGTTAATCCTTCGCCGAAACGTAAACTAAAGAACGGTGACATGATGTAAGTATTTAATAACAAGTTTAATGTCCACCCGAAACAAACTGGTTTATTTCAGGATTAACATTTTATGGTTCTTTTGGTGGGCATACGTAATACAGTGTGCTATGAGGAACATTTTGCCCGGACATTGGCACTACGGCCTACTCTGATATCGAATTCCAATTGGCAAGTGATCTTTTATGCGCACGCCACTGTGTACACAGGACCTCGGTTTTCCGTCCCATCCGAACGACTATACAGCTGTCCTTTGCTGCAACCTCGGTCCTGCACCACTGACAAGGAGGAACCAGCCGGAAATTCCCGAAGAACTTTCTCGGCCAACGCAGGGATCGAACAAGGACCTCCACATTAGCGTGCCATCCTGACTCCAGATTTATGTCAAAAAAGAACGTAAAAATGACGTAAAATTTACATTATATCAACATCATTTTCTGACGTTACGTCATTTCCTGACGTTTGCGTGTCAAGGTCTTACTCACTGAGTCACCTAGGCTCCCAGCAACTGAGACGTTACATGCGACTGGAAGACCAGCAGCTGACATCCAGTTTCTGCTACCTGCCTGTGTTCTACTTTTCAGGCAACTACTTGTGCTCACTTTCTCTAAAATGGTCAATCTAGGCGCAATTGAGAACTGATCATGCTTTATAACAATGGGGGGGGGGGGTTGGATGGCTGAATGGTTAGCAGGTGCGCGCTGTACCATAAAGCCTGTCATTGAGTCAACTGGCGTGGTTTCGAATCCCCGGTTGTACGTGACAAGGAGTAGGGTCGCCTGTCCAACCTTTAAGGTTTTCTCTGGGTCCTCCGGTTTCCTCCCACTGCTAAAGACCCCTACGCGCAAGCGAATTATTGAAATAAAATTAAACCATATGTTAGTCCCGAAATGACCTAGTTGGTGTCGAGTGGACGTTAAACCCCATTTCTCTCTCTCTCTCTTTATAACAATGATCCTTTCTATCTCTTTATCTGTTAGTTCATCTTCTGGACACCGCTGACAAGGACTGCTGTCTTGTTCGGATGGGACGAACACATTGACATGCATGTAAGAGATCCCTTGACAGTTGGAATTTGATATAACCGTAGGCCGTAGCGTAACTGTCTAGGCAAATTTAAACTCATAGCACACTGTATGACGCATGTCCGTTTCATTAGCTCTGTCGGAGCAGAACAGTAGGATGTTAAACCCCATTTCATTTTATTTTTGTTGATCTATTACAGATACGTCATCCAGCCGAGTTCCATGTTTGCTGTACCAAATAAACTTAAATGGAAATCTCCGAAAGTGCCTCGTAGAAACTTTGACAATGAATCTGATTCAACGCCTATTTTATCACGACCTACTCGCATTAGTTGGAATTTACCGGCATATCACAACAACTCTTCAAACGGCAAGAGTCCAATATCAAATGAAGAATTTGAGAAGCGAAAAAGATCTAAATCAGAATCTCAAGCGTAATGTGGATATTCTGCTGATGATGTTCGGTGGATTGAAGGCAGCTTATATAAAGAGATCTCAATCTAAAACATTGATACTGGTCATAAGAATCAGTGGTGGTTAAAGTGTGGACCATTATCCTGAGTTTAACTGGAGCTATTACTGTATTGGTCGTCACCTGGTCAAATTGTTGTGGACCATCATCCTGGAACTTTTACTGTATTGGTCGTGGTCAACAATTGGACTATAATCGTGAACTTGACTGGAACTTTTACTGTATTGGTCGTGGTCAAAATGTGGACTGACTGGAACTTTTACGGTATTGATGGTGGTCAAAACATGGATCATTATCGCCTGTTTATCTAAAGTGTTTGAAATATGAAGCACTACCGGGGGCGTTCGTCTACAACTATTACTGCCGGTAAATATTGTATCCACGATTCCATGATCTGAAATAGGTTACCACAAAGTATGTGTATTTGTTGGTGTTCACATGCTTCATTCCTGTGGTGGTTCCTTAGATGTATACTCATGGCCTTTGGGACAATGGTTGGGGTGAAGCTATGAATTTTATTTTATTTCACGACATCACATCCTGTTTTAACAACCTCGTCTCTGTATCAAAAGTTATTTAATTCTTGTCAACTGGTGTGTATGGTGTTCACGGCCAATATCAAATGTTACACACAACTTGTCAGCTAATGTTTATAGTAATCACAACCTAAACATTATCAAATGTTACACAACTTAAATTTTATCAAATGTTCAGGTTGTAACTGGTGTATATGGTATTCACAGCCTGACCAATATCAAACGTTACACAACTTGTTAACTGTTGTCATGGTAATCAAAACCTACACGGTATCAGATGTATACAACTGGTGTTTATGGTTATCACAACCTTAACAGTATCAAATGTTAGCAGTTTGTCAACTTGTAATCACAACCTATACACGATCAAATGTTAGACAACTTGTGAACTGGTGTATATGGTCTTCACAACCTGACCAGTATCAAATGTTAGACAACTTGTCAACTGGTGTATATGGTATTCACAACCTGACGTATATCAAATGTTAGACAACTTGTTAACTGGGGTTTATGGTATTCACAACCTAGCTAACTCTAAAGCAGATTCATTCAATAAACGAATATATTGAAATTACTCAATAGACCATTTTATTTGAAAAGAACATTGGTTTATTATTATGAACTCGAGTATTGGAAGTCTACACATTTGACAATCCACACACCCATAAAAGTTTTAAAAAATTATTTAGAAAAAAATGTATTATTGTTTACCAAATCACCAATAGAAGATGACACTGGCCATATGTTTTAATTGTGAGTTGACCATTCCACAATTCACAAACGGAAAGTGAAAATATTTCACGTGTATCAATATGGTATCAATATCCACTCTCCTCCATCCTCTGTTTCGCCAAAATATTCTTTACCTTAAATGCCTAATAGCTGACTAACTCTATCAAAATAATGCTGTTAGGGGTACTTAATTCCAAGACATCTGTTAGTGGTGATAGTAAAGGGTAGACTGAAGTCGAGGTGACATTGGCCAAATTGGAGTTAATTGGTTCTATAGGACTTGGTGGTTGGGATGGCCCAGTGGTCTAGAGTGCCGCGTTTCGACCTCTAGCTGGCCGGTCACCTCTGGTTTGCGGCTGTGGTTTCAAATCCCTGGTGTGAATGTATGTGGCTTGGAGATAGGGGGTGCCTTCCGGGTCCTTTAGAGGTCTATTCAGTGAATGACCCATGCGTTGTACTTGATAACGAACGGTAAATGTCACCTACACATTATTTTTATAAAATAAAAGTCTTAGGACACCGGTCTCCATTTCCAGATGAAGACTAACGGGTTTAAGTTGTTTGAAAACATATCACATACATTGAGCTGGTTGCGCGGCCCTGAGATAGGGGATTTTAAAGGATTTGAATACAAAATTAAGAAGTTTTATTCTCCCAAATATTATCAGGATTGGCCCTTTAAACACTAAGAACAACATTCCAAAGGATCTAACTAGTTAGAACAACTGCCCACATAACATTATAAGGATCGATTAACTCTCTTTTAAACGTTGATTTAACGTCAGGAAATTATGTAACGCCAGGAGAGAGAGAGAGAGAGTAGGTCATGATACAACGCGCTAATCATTCACCCCACCCCCCCGATCACTATTGATATTATCATGTATATGTATATACTCCTTATTAATATGTCTCATTAACACGCATGTTTTTTTATTATCTTATTCTTTATATTGTTTATTAAAACTAACATAAGAGATTAAAATTGTCGTATTACGTCATTCTTATAGTCTTTCAAGATGGAGTTTGTCATAATTTCCGACAAACACATCATATCGATATCGATATATAACAAATTGTTTTTATTTTTGTCTAATCCGTAGATAGAATCTAAGGTAAAGAAATTTGGTTTTAAGAGACTAAAGTTTAATCATTTCTCTTAAATTATACTTATCTTTGTTATATGGCAAAACCTGTCAATTGTGCAACTTTGTGGGATTTGGGGTTTTGTGAATAAGGACCATAATTTCAGGTTTGGTTTAGGCTGACCTACTCTGAGCGTGGGATTTTACTGTTTGAAGATGGACTCTCCAGTCAATGTATAATAACAATATTTAAAATTAATAACAATCTGGAACAAAGTTCAAAATACCGGGTACAGCTTCGGTTGATGTTTACAGTCTGGTTTATAAATATAAATATTTCTAAATAAACCCATTAATTTTTTTTAATTTCCTAGAAAAGGAGATGAAAAGCTTTTTTTATTCAAATATTATGTGTTTCATACTGTTGCTATGTAACCTTCATATTTTCATGGTAAATGGCCTGTGGGACAAAAAAACTATTTTTACTCAATTTATATAATTTTTAAAATTATTATAGAATTATTATACAGTCTATAACAAAAGTTTTTGACAATTTTGATTCGATCGAAGAATTCTAAGAGCTCGTTTGTCCTACTGAAACGGTGCACGTGCGCCTGAAGGAATATTTGAGTTTTATACGTCCACATTGCATGTTAGGTTCGTTGCTTTCACCCTTTTACAATATCATTTTAAAATTCGACAGGATTTATTTCTCTTTGGGTTCCGAAAGAACGACATCTGTCGAAATTCAGTATTCGACAAATCCCAACTTATGCAGGTATCGCCCAAGTTGAAATTTATGCAATGTTATAAATTGACACTCGGCAGATTTTTACCTCTGATGGCTTGTTCATACAAGTGTGGGGATTGATTCCTTAACTTTTTAATCGAGTGTGGTGTTATGGTATCGATGACCAAGGAGCCAATTTACTGTTCAGGTCTATTATAATTACGACTGATTAAATGTGTTCATGGTTTGTTGTTTAAATAGGAATTGACAAAAAGCATAAATAACAAAATAACAATTACTTGGCTTTTATTAGAGCGACTTTTTAACTAGACTTCTCTAGTATTCATCAGACAATCTAACTAGGCTTCCCTCCTGTTCTTCAGGCATTTGAACTAGGCTTCTCTGGTATTTTCCAGGCATCAACTAGTCAATCAACTTGGCTAGGGCTATAGTCTTCATCGGGCATTTCAACTTGGCTAGTCAAGTATTCATCGGGCATTTCAATTTGGCTTCTCTAGTATACACTACTACCCCTGTCTTCATCAACCCAGTCGGGCGGAACACTGGGACGTTAAACTCCATTTCATTTTATTTCATATTCATTGACTGTTACACAAGCCTAGTTGAAACGTTGGTATAATAAAAGCTAAGTAAATGTTATTTGGTTATTTTTAAGTATTTATGTTGATGATTTGTTGGTATGTATTGTTTTATCATCTGATTGTTTTGTATATTAGTATTTATACAATATTTCTATTTTTGTACAGTAATTAATACCATAAATAAATAATATAACAAAAATAGGAATAGTTTTTTTCTGAACGTATATTGTGGACGTATATTGTCGTTGCCTCCGTCCGTCCGTCCGTCCATAAGTGTTTGTGAACACTTTACAGGTCACAATTTTTGTACGCCCACATTTTCATGTGGACATATATTGTCGTCGCCCCTGTCCATCCGGACATCCGTCCGTCCGTCCATAATTTGTTTGTGGACACTCTACATGTCACAATTCTTATGCGATTTTGACGAAACTTGAAATATAGGTTTATCTCCAAAAGATCTCGACTGCTTTCGATATTGGCATGTATCGGATCGAAAGTTCATGGATTATGGCCCCTGATTGTACGAAAAATCACGTTTTTAGGTTGTGGACCATATAGCGGTCACAATGTTGATTCAATTCTGATGAAACGTGACATGTATGTTTATATCCCAATGATCTTGGTTCCTTTCGATATTTACGCCCATCATAACTTCCTGAATTATGGCCCCTGATTGTCCGAAAAATCGCCTTTTTTTTTTAGCTTGTGTTCCCTCTGGAGGTTACAATTATTATCCAATTATTATTTAAAAAACTGTTTGTTGATGAAACTTGAAATGTAAGTTTATAACCGAAAGATCTCGGTTCCTTTCGATATTCGCGCATATCGAACAGTAACTTCCTGAATTATGGCCCCTGATGCACGAAAAATCGCGTTTTTAGCTTGTGGACCCTATAGAGGTCATAATTTTTATCCGATTTAAACAAACCGTATTAGTATATCACCGTTACACCCTAAGGATGGCTGAGTTCGAATTTCGTGATAATCGGCCCAACACTGACAGACAAAATGGCCACCCCTAGTACACAATTAGCGTAAAAATATGGTATATCAATGTTGTAGAACCTCTAGAGGTCACAACTTTCTTCTAATTTTGATGAAACTTGAAATATAAGTTTATAACCCAAAGATATCCGCACGTATCGGATCGTAACTTCCTGAATTGTGGCCCTTGATTGAACAAAAAATCACGTTTTTAGCTTGTGGTCCCTGTAGAGGTCATAATTTGTATCTGATTTAAAAAAAAATGTGTGAATATATCACCATTACACACTAAGGTCTTGATTCCTTTTGATAATCGCGGATACCCGAACTTAACTTCCTGGATTATGGCCTCTGATTGTTCGAAAAATGGCATTTTTTTCCAATTTTTAAAAAGCGTTTAAATATTTCACCATTCCACCATAATGAAGGTTGGATTCGAATTTCGGGAAAATCGAAATGAAACTGCCCAACAAAATGGCCGCTCTTTGTACTCAAATTGTATAAAAGTATGCAGTACAAAGGTTGTCGACCCTCTAGAGGTCACAATTTTTATCCGATTCTGATGAAACTTAAAACATGTTTTTATATTCCAAAGATCTCAGTCCCTTTGATATATGCGCATTTCAGACTATAACTTTCTGGATTATTGTCCCTGATTGTACAAAAAATCCCGTTAGTTTTTAGCCTGTTCTCTATCCATCTCTTGCAAAACGTGGGCGTATCCTGCCTGGCAGCCGTTGGTTATCCGATTTCAATGAAACTTGAAATATAGGATTATCACCCTACGGTCTCGGTTCCTTTCGATATTGGCATGTATGAGACTTTATCTTTATGGATTTTGGCCCCTGATTGTACAAAAATTCACGTTTTTAGCTTGTGAACACTGTAGAGGTCACAATTTTTTTATCCGATTTGGTTTAAACCTGAAATGTATGTTTATTACCAACAGATCTTGGTTCATGTCAATATTCGCGCAAATAGGACAATAGCTTCCTGAATTATGGCCCCTGATTTTATGAAAAATCGCGTTTTTAGCTTGTGGTCCCTCTGGAGGTCACAATTATTATTCGATTTAAAAAAAAACGTTCGAAATATATCCCCGTTACACCGTAATGTTTGTTGAGTTTGAATTTTGTGAAAATCCGGCCAAAACTGTCGGACAAAACGGCCGCCCCTAGTACGCAAATAGTGTAAACATCTGGTAAATCAAGGTTGTGGACCCTCTATAGGTCACAATTTTGACCCGATTTCAATGAAACTCGTAATACATGTTTATAACCCAAAGATATTGGTTCCTTGCAATATTCGTACATTCTGAATTATGGCCCTTGATTGAACAAAAAATCACGTTTTTAGTTTATGGTCCCTGTAGAGGTCACAATTTTTTCCGTTCGTGAGTTCGTGAGTTTAACGTCCACTTCCACATAGGGTGATATCGTAGACAAGAAATTTTTTCCGATTTTAAAAACCTTTTAAATACATCACCATTCCACCATAATGAAGGTTGAATTCGTATTTCGGGAAAATCGAAATGAAACTGCCCGACAAAATGGCCGCTCTTTGTACGCAAATTGTGTAGAAGTGTGTAGAGGTCACAATTTTTATCCGATTTTGATGAAACTTAAAATACATTTTTATATCTCAAAGATCTCAATCTATTTTGATATTTGCACATTTCGGGCCATAACTTTCTGGATTATTGCCCCTGATTGTACAAAAAATCGCGTTTGTTTTTAGCTTGTTCTCTATCCATCTCTTGCAAAATGTGGGCGTATCTTTGCCTGGCAGCCGCTGGTTTACACGTTAATTTGACGTGAACGTCACATACAAATATTGTCAACGTTACATACCTCAACGTTTCACCGCATGTTTTGCGCAATATAGAACGATGGGTGCTGACGTGCCATAAAGATCCATATCGAATTCATTCATCTTAAACTAAGTGATGTAGTCAAAGTTTGCAATAAATTAATTTGAATACGGTCCTGAATATTATATTATATATTATACACCAATAATAATCTAGGTTAATATTTATTTGAGAATATTCAGTATAACTCAATGATGTGAAAGTTTCATCCTGGTTTACGTTCTCTTGATCAATCTATATGTTAAACAAAGAGTAGTTGTTCAGTATGACTCAATGATATGAAAGATGCGTCCGGCGTGGCGTCCTGTTGACCTAGATACAGACAACATTATTATAGTTTTATATATTTAATAACTCATTATCTATTAGGTGTCAGCCATAGTACAGGAGAATTGGTCGACAAGAAGAACATTATTATAGTTGGTACAATGTTGATAGATAAAATGTTGACTAAAGATAGAGTATTAATCTGTCTGCTTATATCCAGTCATGTTTATTTTGTATTGGGTAAGTTTTATATATTTAATAAATCATTATCTATTAGGTAATCATGAAAGTTCCAGGGAATAAGTAATATATTGAAAGAGGGATAAAGAAATAAATACTTACCGCTCATGCAATACACGATAACCCGTATTTTATTTTTTAAATCCTCCTCCCCGACTAACTTAATAGTATTTAGTGTCACCCAACTGCCCCCCCCCCCCCACTAACTTAATAGTATTTAGTGTCACCCAACTGCCCCCCACAACTAACTTAATAGTATTTAGTGTCACCCAACTGCCCCCCCCCCACTAACTTAATAGTATTTAGTGTCACCCAACTGCCCCCCCCCCACTAACTTAATAGTATTTAGTGTCACCAAACTGCCCCCCCCCCGCCACTAACTTAATAGTATTTAGCGTTACCCAACAGTAGTACTTTGTTACAGTATATGTAAATTTAAATGTACGGTAAATGAAACTACTTGTCAGTGGTATTCTGTGTGATATCTGGAATGTCGTAGTATGACTTGTATTTTGACATTTAAGACCCCACCCTCCCTCCCAATCAATTAATAGAGTTTAATAGCGTACAACCTTTCAAATTATTTTCTGGCACATCTATATTTACTTACCCTGAAAGATCAAAGTTCCACTGTTCTAAATTTTATTAGGGGGGGGGGGGGTGTTAAAATTAAAAAAAAACCATCTTATAAAGAAATTTCTGATATATGTTCATAAGCAGCTGGAAAATATGTTTATTGTTTGCTACAAAATGTAAATTATTTTCTTCTTGCACATTTGTATTTACATACCTTGAAAAAATAACAAATTTGAAATAGGACTAACATGTATTAAATGAGGAGGGGAGGGGGTATTTGACGTCAAAATACGGGCCATAACACAAAAATACAAGATATCGGGATGCATACCATTAAAAAAAGTCTGAATACATTTTTTCAAAATTGTAAAATATCGTCTGAAATATTCATATTTACACATACCTTGTTAAAGCAGATATAATTTGGATCCCATCACTAACTCTATTTAGTGAGGGGAGGGGGTATTTAAAAGTCAAAATACGCGTCTTAATACGAAATTCCAGTTATCGTATAATGCTTCACCGGAAAGTATTTGTCTATCGCTCTTTGAATATACGAGTATTAGCTATTTTACTGGCACATCTATGATTACATGATTTAGAAGAGATCAAGCCCTCTTTCGTTTGTCCAAAGAAATATGTCGCTATCCGACACAACCTAATTTCTGTAAACAGACTACTTTCAAATTATTTTATTGAATCCTAGATCAGATTAACCAATATAAATCGCGGTCATCGAGCAATTTTTCTTATTGTATATAAGTTTGCTCGATTCTCTTGTGTTGTATGGTGACTTATTTCATGTGCTATGAAGAGTATTATAACTGCCACTCGTGTCCAAGTTTTATCATCTGCTTATCATATCATGGGGTGAACTTAATTAATAGTTAATCAAATTAGCAAGTGGAACAGGCAGACTTTAGATAACGATCTAACGATATTTACAATATTAATTACATTGATACAATTGAAATTAGGGTGTCATATTGTTTTATATCAAGATAAAGAATAATGAATGATCTGAACACATTTTACAAATCTTCAATAAGATATTTTGAAAGAACGTATCAAAATTAATAACGGTTTATCTCTCTAAGTTTCGAACAATACACAAAACAAAACATCACATTCGCTTCTAATTTAAGCGCGGGCATATAAAGCCACTCAATTTCTCTTGAGAAAAATAAATAAAATCTCTCCCGTTAATACCTGGCCCTCCCATTAATCTTTGGGGTACTCGTTACATCACAAATAATAATCTCTCGGGCCCTCCCATTAAATATTTGGGGTATCACAAATAAAATCTCTCCCGTAAAAATCGGTGCATCCCATTACACTTGGGGTAATATACACGTATAGACAAAACAAAAAAAACTTAAGAGATAAACGCGTTAATACTTTGTGAATGTTATTGGGTTAAATTCCAAATTACGATACTGTTAACTCAATTCTAGTTAAACAATCACAAAACATTTTAGTTCTCGATATTAACCTGTTAATACTAAATTTGAATGCCACAATATGTGTTCAAAAACAAACATATAATCTATATAAAACATTTTCCTACAAATATTGCCTTTCGAGCTGGTAGTGGAACAGTTCCACTGTCTTTGAGTAAATCTTATGTGTCTTGTGGCCCACACAAGTCGGTTACGGCGATGAAGAGGTGTCAATATTGGTCCATTATACACTGTAACAAAAATTTCCGTGAAAAAACGTAAAAAATTCCGGAAACAAAAATTACCAGGAAAATTTTATCCGTATTTGTTTTTCCTGTAATTTACAGAAATTCCTTCAATTAACATAAATTCCATTTTCAAATTCAGAAAAAAAAATCCTGGTAAATTTTCTTTCCTGAGCATGAAGATGATAAAAATTTCATTGAATTAACCATTGACTTTATACCCGTGCGTCAAATAGCTTTATCTAACGTCCGCTTCCACCGAAGTGATATCGCAGATAATCTTTAAACATAACCTCTTTTCGCTAATTTATGAATCGAGAGCAAGGTATCACAACCGGCCACTCGTTGGAGGCTTTCAGTGGTAGACTCTGCTATAGAGACAACCTGACTTACACTGGCCAACGGGTTGTACTATCTGGATTTAAGCCTGCTTTTTTTTTTTTTTTTTTTTTTTAAAGAATTTATTCACTCAATAAAAATATTATACATCATATCAAAAATCCCATCATCTATGTACAAACAGTGTAAAAATGTACAAAGATAAAAATTAAAAAATTGATGATGGGGAGTGAATAATGTTAAAATATTGTCATTATTTACTTTAAATTGCAATTAGAAAAATAAACAAAGTACAAATTAACTGTTAACAAAAATATTACCAAAAACGTATATACACCAAAAAATATAAAACAATAAACATATTTACAAGCATAATACACATAAACACATGTACAATATTATAATACACAACAAACTATAGCTAATACAACAGAATAATCACAATGTGAAGTGAAAAGAATCTAAATTAAAAAGTCGAGAAATTTTCATAATTCAAAAACTAAAAGACAACTTACCATTTTTATCTAACAAACAAAATAAACCGGGATCAAGCCAATATTTATTAAATTTGCTAGGGGTAAATCTAAATTTATCAACAGTTATTCTAAATCTTAATTTCTCTAAGAAATCACAAATAATAGTTTCCGTAGATACAGACTTCTGTTTAAATTTACAATCCTGACGATTACGCTATATAACAGCTTTCGCTAAATTAACAATATACAAAATAACACCAAAAATAAATTTGTTCATTTTAGGAAAAGTTAAAAACCGAATCAATTCAAAAGTTAATGCAATAGAGCCTAAAGATAAACTGTCAATCCAATTATGAATAATTACCCATATAGGGGAGACAACTCCACATGTATAAAATAAATGTTCCAGTGTTTCAATATTATTACAAAAAGTACATTTTTTTTCTAAAGAATGCTTACGTGTAAAAAGTGTCCACATGCAAGGAACAATATCATGCGCGAAACGCCAAGCAAAACTTCTTACATGAGGATCAACAAAATTACAATGAACATTAGAAAATACAGTTTGAAAATTAATCTGAGGCATAATCTTAACTATAAAATTTTGTTTAACTATAGGTTTCAACAATAAATAATAAAATTCTTTAGATGAAGTATGATCATGCCAATTAAAATCCGGATACAGCTTAATGAAATTCTCTAAAATTACCTTACAATTCTTATAGAAACTTGGTACAGAATCACCATGTGGCTTATTATTTGTAAATAAGGAAGAGTCAATTTTTTTGAGAGTAAACCCTAGCCAATAAAAAACAAAATACTTAAAATTAGAATTACAACCATTAACAATATTATGTATATGTTTAAGTCTAAGAGATTGAAATTTTAATAAAATATGCACAACTGACAAACCCCCTTCCCGCTTACTACCGTATAAAACCAGACGTTTAAGACATTCAAAACGTTTAGTGCCCCATATAAATTTGAACATTATTGAATTAAATTTTTGAATTAATATATTCGGAACGTCGATTATACTTCCAACATGCCAAAGTTTTGATAAACCAACTGCTTTTATAATATTAGCACGACCAAATATGCTCATATCTCTATCACCATAATCAAAAGTAACATATATAAAAGAATTCAAAATCTTATTAAAATTATCATCTACAGTAATGGATTTCCCAAATTTAACTCCCAAAACTTTCTGAGAATCTACCCAGGATACACCATAGGCCTGATCCGAAATATTAAAATTACCAAAAGTTAAAACCTTCGTCTTACTTTTATTTAAACGGGCCCCCGAACCTCGACCGTATTGTTCATAAACATCTAAAACCCGCTGCATAAGCAGTGACACGAGCCTCGCCGTTATTACCGGGAAGGGAAATACCTTTAATAAATGGATCAGACCTAAGGCGAACCAAAAAAGGTTCTAAAGCTAAAACATATAATAATGGTGATAACGGACAACCCTGTCTAACAGAACGTGTCACTTTAAAAGATTTAGATATAAAACCATTAACGAGGACTGAGCTGGATACATCTGTATATAAAAGTTTCACCCACTTAATAAAAGATTCACCAAAATTATATCGTTTTAAACACGCGAAAAGGAAATCGTGATCTACTCGGTCAAATGCTTTTGCCGAATCTAGATTAACAAATGCGACTTTCAAGTGTTTTTGTTGACAGTAGTCAATTACGTTCCGTATCAAGTGAAGATTAGCAGAGATTTGGCGGCCAGGAACAGAACAAGTTTGATCAAAATGTACGATTTCCCCGATAACACAGCTCAATCTTCGTTGAATAATTTTTGAAAGAATCTTAAAATCTACATTAAGTAAAGATATTGGTCTCCAACATTTTATATCATAATCATGATTTCTGTCTTTACATAATAAAGTGATAACACTAAGTTT